TGCCAAAGTTTAGTTGATCATAACTTTGTTCAAAATAATCCAATCCGAGTTATTTTGGTACCAATCAACTCCTCTCGATAAGGAGCATCGAAATAACTAATAAAATCATTTTTGAAAATTTTACCTAAAAAGTTTATATTTGCAAAATTTATTTTAATTTTTCAATCAGAGAGTCATATCTCGGTCCATTTATGTGATAGACACATGATTTTGACGTCATTCGAATCAGATTGGAGAGCTGATTCGAATGATATGTAAAATTCTCACATCAAAACAATAGCCTTGAATCCAGGCCAAATTTTATCCAAAAATTTTTGCTCGAAATTTGCTAGAAAATTAATCAAACTTAATTATAAAATTTGGAAAAGATTTTTATATCATCAAGTTTCCTAAAGTGTTGGGAATCCAGGAAAAAACGAATTATCAATTTTCGTTTAAAATTAAAAAAGTTATAGCCAAAACAAAGTCGGCGCTAAATTTGCCGCACCCTGTACATATTCTTATATAAGCAAGCAGGTAAATATTTTTCTTATAAAATAAATAAAAATAATTAATTACACCTTTATTTATTTAAATTTTTTAAATATTTTTATTTCTTTTCCGCGTCTTTTATTAATTTTAACTAATTATCAAAAAATATTTGAAGAAGGATCCAATGGTAGTTTTAATAATCTGTTAAAAACTTTATTTCCTACATATCCAGACTTTTAATTTAATGTACTCTCGCATTCGGGTAGCTCAATTCTTTCGAAACTACCTATAGTTTTAGTTTACCATTTAGGAAAATATGTATAACATAATTAATCTTCATTGGAAGTGTTTAATTGGGAAAATATTTATCTTTAATTTAATTCTCTATTTATTTAATTTAGATATTTTTTTATTAATAAAAATAAATTTTTAATTGAGGTTTTTCAAGTTTAAGTGACTGAACTTTTATAAAATCTCAAAAGTAGGCAACGTCCAGTTACTAATGTTTTGCTGTTTTAGAACTTTATTTTCATATAATTTATTTAACTTTACTCTAATTAATTCTTAAATCTCCATATTTTGTCCAACTTATTTATTTTTGTTGAGTTCTTCCTTCTTCTTTTTTTTACTTCATAAATTTTCCGTTCCTCCTCCCTCGTTTTTCTTCACTTTTCAACACTAAATTTTACTCAACTATAAAAAAAGGAGGAGCACCCAACAAAAATAAAGTAAAAAATAAATTCCCGTAGAGATTTTCAATTGTCCCTCACGTATTTTTTTATTTATTTTTAAATATGTACACACTTCATCACTTTTTTGCCATATTGCTTTTTATTTTATTTTTAGCCATAATAAACATTCGTCATTCGGATTAAATATTTTTAAATTTTCTTGTAAATTTAAATATAATTAAGTTTTTTCTTCAACAATTAATTGTTCATAAATTATGTTGACTATTATATCTCGATTGGGAAATTATTAAAAGTTTATATTAGGGTTGTTCACGACCGGGTTTAAGACCGGAATTTTTGAGATTTTTTGCCAAGAATTAAATCGTTTTTATGAAATTTTAAAACCTGAACCGGAAATTCACAGAAATGAATTATTTTTTAAAAAAATTTTCCCCAGAATAAGATATTTGCCAAAAACTCAAAACCGGAAACCGGGGGTAACGGTGTATATTGTCTGGATATTTTGAATTGTTTTCGGTGCATATAATTTTCATTACAATTTCTTGTTCCCTTCATAACTATATCTGTTTTTAATTAAAAATAAAATATAAAAATAAAATATTATTATTTCAAAATAAATTTTAAATTCAAAATTTATATTTATTTTTTGCATTAAAATAATTGCCAATACTAAACCCCCTCCCTCTTTTTTAAACCTCCAACAATTAATTTAAAAAATAAAAAGCTGCTGGAAAATTTTTTCCTTCTTCCACACAAAATAAAATGGCAAAAAGTCTGAAATTGTGAAAGAATTTACCATATGTTTATTTTTATTTTTCTGGCAAAAATGGAAGAGTCAAGAGAGGGAATGAGTGCAAACAAAAAAAGTGTAAGGTATATTTAACCAAAAAAGTCAACAATACTTGATGAATAATTTTAAATTGCTGCTGGTAGCTTTATACTTTTCTTTATATGTAATTGAGAAAAAAAAAGAAGAATAACTAACTAACCAACCATTTTATTTTTTTTATTTAATTTTATTTCAAAATTTTCATATAATTTTAATTTAATTTCCTTTATTAATTTAATTTAAAAATTAAGGATTTCTGATAACGTTGGCGGATAGTCGGAAATCTTCATATATCCGGATCCGATATCCGAACCGAAAATTTCCGGATATCCTGCCTTTTTTCAGATCCGGATACGCCAACCTTAATTTCTAATATAAAATATAAAAATTAAAAAATTAAATTATAAAATAATATGAGAATTTTATCTCTTACCCCAATTCACCTTCATCCCCTTTTTAATATTTATTTAATTTATTTATAATTTTTTTGTTTAAAAGAATTTTACCATTGGATCCAAATATATTAATTTAAAAAACTGTCAGAATTCGTCTTTTCATCATTTTTTTTAAATCTTTTTCTCCTAAAATATTTCTAAAAAATGCATGTTAGATACTTGCAACACAGCAGTCACGGTACTGTTCAATTGTTATTAATGCCTTTGAGTGCTGGTATTTTTGGTAGTGATTCTCAAAATGAAACAAAAACAAAGTAAATTTAAATTATTTTTTTGGATTAAATTTTTGTTTAAAGAGAAAAATAATGAATTGAATTGAAATAAATTAAAAAATTAAATTGTATAGGGGTTGTGGATTTAGTATAACTATAAGGCAAATTAATATTTGGGACAAAAAAAGAAAATATTAGTGTCTGGCGAGGGACAGTTCCCGCTCCCGCACTTTTTTTAGTTTACAGATTTTGCCGGTCACAAATATATTATTTTTACTAAATAATATTTTTATCTCACATATTTCTAATAAATTTATATTAAAATTGTAGTAATTCTGAAGATGAAAACGAAACAGAGCCAATTCCATTACCTATACAATCATTTTTGTGGCGTCAAACAAAGTAATTTATTAAATATAATTTACAATATATTTATTCATTTTAGTCCATTTCTTGGCTCAAAAATTAATAAATTACAAGATGCTTCTTGTGTGGTAAATTAAAAAACCTTCTAAAAATTCCTCTTTAAAGACATTTGAACGTGTTATTGTCCAAAATATTTTACATGGTTTAAGTCCAAGTTTATCCGAAGCTATTTCTTCAATTTCTCGTTGGAATCTTGTTCGGGCATCATTTCCACATATTATACAATGTTCAGCTACTTTATTAACAGAAAGAGCTGGAGAAGAAGAAAGTTTGGCAATGAGTAGCTCTTTAGTTAAAATACTTTATATATTACATTGGTTATTAATTGATGCTAATGTTGAATGGTTAGTTGAAAAATTTGGGTTTTTTTAAGAAAAAAAATTTGGAAAAAAATATGAGAGATTCTCTCAATTTTTATCAACCATTTTTACAGGAATAAGTTTAGAAAATAGCCAACTGTATAGGTTAGGTTAATATAGGTTAGGTTAAGTAACTAGAAGAAGAACCGAGGATTTTTGGTTCGGTCTTAGGTTCGGTTCCGGATATCCGAAGAATTTCCTATAATTTAAAACCCTACCGATAAAAATAAAAATAGTTTTTTTGGAAATTATTTAAGAGAATTTTTTGAAAAAACTGAAGACAAAAATTATTATGAACAGAGAAAGTAGAGAAAAGTAAAATTGTATTAATAAATGAAAGGAAAAGAAATAAAATATAAGTGAGTGAAAAAGGATAGAACGTTTAAAGGAAAGAAATATAATAGAAAAATAAATGTATATTCGCTATTCTTTACTACCCAATTAAGATAGCATATTATTTTAACTGAATTAGTTTTCCTTTGACAAATTCATTAGCCTTGCGCTCGGGCAGTACAGCGTCCAATGAGGCCTAGCCGAGGAGCTGTTATTGCTGATTGAAAACTTATACCAATTGCCCGCCTTGGCCTGCGAAAGCAGTGCCTTGTGCAATTTTTGGACGCCCGAAAGGGCAAAAAAGTTTTTGAAGATTAGTAGCCGAGTTGGATCTACGATTCTTTTTCGGGCCAAATATCTTAGGCCAGACTCGATCTTTCGGTCCGAGTCGGTTCATTTTGGCAACCCTAGTTAGGAATTTTAATTATTATAACTTGAATTAAAATTTAACTTAATATTTAAAATTTATCCTCTTTTCCGAGCAGTTTGAGCAATGAACTGTCAGCACCTTCAACTAATACCAGTAATTGTTTAAATGTTCGACAGTTTACCTATCCAATTTCTTCAATTCAATTATTTGTTTATTTACTTGCTCCTCTTTTTCATGTCGTTCATGAGGAAGAAATTGAGGGACATATTCGACTAGAAAGTGGTTTTCGTCTTTGGACAGCACTTTGGCAACAACGTTTACCAGAACTTATTTGTTTCTCGGCGCCTGTAAAACAAAGACGTAATCATTTACCTCTTCTTAATACATCTACTTTGCTTCCTTGGACAAAGCGGACCCAAAGGTGTGGAGATTTTTTTAAGTAAGGGTATGAGGTGATGTTTGGCAATAGTTGTTAAATTTCAGCTCTGGTCTAGTTTATGCGTCTAATGAGAGTCCAATCACTATTGTCAATAATGGATGGTCCTCTTATGATGTTATTAATAATCCTCATAATCATCAGTTTTAAATAAATAATTATACTCCCTTCAGATTAATAGATAAATTTTTTAGAAGAAATTTATCATATAAATATTTTTAAAGCACTGCTGCTGATCAGGGTATTTATATTGGAGAGAAAGCCCCACTATCTACATCAGCATTTGCTCCATTTGTGAGTGTTCGAAGACCATCACAAATTCCCCCGTCTTCCTCCTCCTCTCAACAAATAAATACAACAGCAATTCCTCCACCAAAACCTCCAAGAACCGATTTAAATGTATTACAAGAATTGGAAATGCAGAAAAAGAATAAAAATAAAATTGTAGAACAAGAAGTTGAGGAAATTGGCAATAAACAACAACAACAATTAGCTTTGGGGACTAGTAGTTCACAAGGCAAAAACCTTTTCTTTGAAAAAATATTTAAAATATTTAGGAATTGTTCGAAGTGTCAGTGATTATAAATCCTCTGCTGCAGACCAACAATCACAGCAAGAATTAAATAATTTAAGAAAATCTAGGACAACAACTAATGCCTTCCAATCAAATAAAAATATTGAAAATTCTCCAGATTCTTTAAATGATGAGAGTTTTTCTAATGGAATACAAAAAATTGATGATCTCTTTCATTATTCTGATGATGGCGGTTTTAGCTCTTTTAATTTGTCTTTAACTGGTGGGGCTAATGCACCAATTGTTAAAATGAATGAAATATGTTCTGGGGCTTCAATTGACAGTGAATCTGTAAATGGAACTAAATTTGAGAAACAAGAAGTAGAAAAACAAAAAGAGGAAGAAGAAATAATTGGAGGGGGAGGAGGAGTTTCTAGTAGTAGTAATATATTAGTTACTACTACAACAAAATCCTCACTTCGAACATTGGTCTGATAAAATAAAAAATAGGGGAATTATAAATTAGAGTTCGAACTTTTCAAAATGCCGGGCCAGGGACCCGGTTTTTTTCTCCCAAAATCGCACCCGGACCGGTTTTTCCGGATAAAACCGGAAAAACCGGTTAGCCCGGAAAAACCGGATTTTTTCAGACCCGGGCCCGGACCCGGTTTTTTCTAAATTTATTAAAAACATAAAAAAATTATCACACAGGATAATTTATCACACAGGATAGGAAAACATACAAAGAATTAATTAAAGGATAGATGAATCAAAGGATAGATGCGCTAAAGGATAGATAGCATGGGTGTCCGCAAGTGAAAAAAATTTTCCGCAGCCGCAATCCACAGTCCGCAATCCGGAATATAAGTGGTAATCTGAAGATATAAGATTTAGGGCATTAACCAGGATACGAGGGATTTAAGGATAAAGTGGGATTTTGTTAAGCAAGTTGGCGATTAGCCCACGATATCACTTAAATTCCCGTTATCCTTCAAATATTGGGGGGATATAGAAGATTATGAATTTGAAGAGATTCATAGAGGACTCATAAGATTTGTAAGGATATTAAGGGAAATCTGAGGATTAAGCCCTCGATTTACTTCTTAATCGCATTAATTTTTTAAAAATTTTGAGAATTTTGGAAGGCTAAGGGGCCAATTTCTTTTTTTACAGCCGGAGGTTAAAATTCTGAGAATTTTGGAACTCCATGGGGACAAATTTCTTCCTTTTTACCGCCGGAGGCGAAAATTTAGAGAATTTTGTAGGTAGCCGCCAAATTTCTTCTTTTTTTACCGCCGGAGGCGAAAATTTTGCAAATTTTGGACTTCGTCAAAAAGACTCCGGGCCCGGCAAAAAATTACCGGGCCCGGGACCCGGTTTTTTTTACTCAAAATCGCACCCGGGCCGGTTTTTCCGGATAAAACCGGAAAAGCCGGTTAGCCCGGAAAACCCGGATTTTCTCAAAAATACCCGGTTCCGGGCCACCGGGCCCGGAAAAAACCGGTCCGGGCCCGGCCCGGGTTCGAACTCTATTATAAATTATTTTAGACTTGTAATTTATCTGGAGATGACAGTACTTCCCAATCTAGTCAACAAACAATTATTGCCCGTCCCTTACAACAACAACAACAACAACAAACAATTAAACAACAATCTAAACAACAACAAAATACCCCAATTCCTCCAACCCCTAAATTATCAAAAATAATTACAAAACGCTCAGATTCGGAAATGAGTGTTGGATTAGGTGAAAAATCAGCGGGTGATTCTCCTTTTCCTTCAACAGCTTCTTTAACAGCAGACACTCATGAAGCTAATTATTTAGATATTGCCGTTCTTAGATGTTTATTAATTAAAAATTGGGCAGAAAGAGGAGTATTTTGGGCAGTGAAATATTTATTAAATCGTTTAATAGCAATGCGTCAATATAGATGTTTACATGAAGGAATGTTTAGATCAAGGTAGTAGAAATAGTTTGTGGGATTATTAACTAGGGTAGCTTTTTGGCAAAAATCCCGACCCCGAAACCCGCAGGCTCTACCCCGAACCCCGACCCAAAAGTCAACCCCGATCCCGAAACCCGACATGCCCTCCATGGCAAACCACTATCCCGACACTTACGGCTCCAAAGGCTCGGGGTTCTACTCTATTATTAACTTCTATCCATTATCACACAATATTTAAAACTTCTATTTTATATACCAAATTCCCCTTATATTCTTTGTCAGATGTAACTCAGACACTGCTGCAAACAGAAAAATATCCAAAAATGAGACAACAAATCTTGAATCGGTATCTTCATTCTCTTAAATATAAAATTTCCCCCCAATTTTAAAGCAATATTTAACTTGGGCTGATTTACAACAAGAAAATCCTTCTACAGAAAAAGTTGAAGCAACAAACATTCCTCCCCCTTCCCCTCAAAAACAACAACAACCTCCAATAGAAAATGTTTCATTAATTAAAGAACGTCGAAAGTCTATATTGGGTTTAAAACGAAGTAGTGTTGCTGAACAAAAACAAGAAATTGCTAAACAAAAAGAAGAAAGTTTTTTAATACCAAAAATTGACAGCGATAAACGTAGACGGAGGATTTCAGCAAATACTTTACCTATTAAACAGACAAAAAAGGTAATTGGGGATTCTTGTCTCAGAACAACTTTAATCGTGAAAAAATAAACTAAATTAATTCCTTTCAGATTTCTCGTGCAGAAATAGCTTCTGGTTTTTCAAATAAAAATGCTCGAAGCCGTAGCGAACCTTCACTTTTTTCGCGTCATTCTGATTCTTTAATTCATGGAAGATGTTCTATCTGCCCTCCTTCATCTCTCCAAACAGATCCTCAAGACAAATCTTCACCCCCATCAAACTGTCAAAGAAAATATTCCCAATTTTTCCCAGAAGCAATTGGGAGTGCACAATTTATTGAAGGAAATGGACATTTATCCATGTTAGCGTTACTTAAAACCCTGGGGGCGTTAATGGAACGTTGTACTGTTGTTAAAGTATCTGAGGTATGTAAATAAATACCCTGGGTAATTTATGTTTCAATCTCTCACTTGAGGGAGTAAATCTAGAGAGAGCAATTGATAGGGGTTATACGGTACTTTTTGTCTTAAAAATTTTCAAAATAAAATTTCTTTTTAATATTTTTAGATTGTATTAAATATTTGTGATACTTTACTAAATATGCCAAATTTGGAATTTTATGGAGCCCGTCTTTTCTTTGAAAATATTTTACATATTTTACACCGTGTTTGCCTTCAATTGGGTTGTCCTAATGGTTGTAATGAAGGAAGTGTTAAATGTCCTCAAGCAGAATTTTTAAGAATAAAATTGAGAAATTTGATTGCACAAATGCATAGAATTAAGTATATTATTTTAAATTAAATAATGGGCAGAAGATTAAATGATTAGAGATTAGCATTATTAATTCACCCTTAAAAATTTTTACTCTTCCTCATTTTATCTTTCGCACTTTTGAATTAATCAAATTTTAGTAAAGTAAGGAAGTTTTTAGTAAAGAAATCTCTCCAAAGTGAATTTAAGGATTTTAATTTAATCTTTTGATAAATTAAAGGAGTCAAACCCATTAGTATTTGTGTAAGGAAGTGTCCGAACTTTCGTTTCATTTTATAAGGAAAAGAGTTTATAATTTAAAAATCATTTTTTTAAAGTTCTGAACTTTTAATCGAACTTCTTCGTCAATTAGTAAAGTCAATACCTACAGCCCAAATGGTTGATACATTACATTCATTAACTATATTTTGCCGGGCTTCTCCATCTTTTAATAAATTACATCAACGAAGTATATTAACTAGTGGGGGGAAAGGTTAGAAAAAACACCCCAAGAAAAATCTCTGTTAATTTAATTTTTATAGCTCAACAACCCCAATCAACAACCAAAACAAATTTAACTCCAAAAATGCCTCCAACCTACAAAAATAATTTTAATGAAGCTTATGGAGGTATTGAAAGTATTTTAATGAGTGCTATACTTGGACCTTTACTTTCTAAATTAACTGCTTCTTCTGCTGAATTATGGCAGCCTGAAAATATGAGTCTTGCACAGGATGTCAGAATGTTGATAGCTTATACTTTTGAGAAACATGGAAATCCTTTACGGAGATATGCAATGGCAAGAAAAATTTTTTTTAAATATAATTAATCTTCTTTTAATTTATTTTTTCCTTTCTGAACGTTCCCCAGCTGTACCCCTTCTATCAGATAACGGGGTTGTTAGTTTTACTCCTTGGAGGATTAAATTTAAAATCATCTAGAAAATAAAATTCTTTAGAGTGCCATGTCTGCAAAAACGATAAACAGAATCGGTTCTGCTCGTTGTCCATGGAGTGAACCTCCACCCTCTTCACAATTTACATCAACAACAATAAATACATTACCATCAACCTCTAAAAATAAATTAACAACATTAACAACAAATAACAATAACCAACAATCATTATCAATTGCCCCAGCAAGAGAATATGCTGCTTCATTAAGACGTGGTCTTTTTAGGAAAAGAGAATGGATGCAAACAACATTAACTAAAGAAGAATTAACTGGGTCTTGTGGTGGTGCTGATAGTGATGGAGGTGTAAATGGAGGGGGAGGAGATTCAACACAATCTACTCCACCACTTAGAATTCATCCTTCAACATCGATGGACGATTCTTCGCTTGGAAGTCCTCAACCACAAACTGCTACTTTAGCACCGAAAAAGGGAGGAGGAAAAAATTCTTCAACAAAAAAAGGCGGTGGGGCAACTGGACGATTACTTGGACTTCTTAAAGGAGTGAGAATTAATAATAAAGCTGAACCTTACTATAAGATAACCCAATCTTGGAGCTTTCATGGGAAACTTTGGCTCCAGATTTGGAGACTAAATTTGAATACTTTTGTGCTCATAAAATACTTATGTCCCATATTTTTCGTTTAATTAACAGACTTGTATCATCTTTCATGACCCATACTTTATTTTTCCTCAGGCGCGACATGGCACTACAAGTTCCGATCAAACTGTCATAAATTTTGGAGACGATGATGGTTCATTAATTGCAACATCTGATGAACAACAAACTGCAACAAATTTAGTAGAAGATGATAGGGAAAGTTCATTAGGTGGTGGAGGTTCTTTAGATGCTGGAAGTGTAGGGCGAGGAGGAGGAGGAAAGTCTAATACTGGCTCAAATATTCGGGCAACACCTCCAAGTCGATTAGCAGCCCCGAAAGCCCATTTCGGAATTATAGAAGGTGAAGAAAAGGGAGGAAGGCATTTTGATCAACCATCAGCCAGCTCACCTCAAAATATTCCAAATTTCTTGCCTCAACGAAAATTTGTTCAAGTTAAAGATTTTGTCAGAAAATATTTTTAAATTAATATTTTTGTAGATAAAAGAAATTAGAGAGGGAGCGGCACGTTTTGCTTTTATTCTGGAGAACAGCAAACCTGGCACTTTTCCAGACGCTCCTTTAATTGCTGCACTGCCTGAATTGAAATCTACTGTGCTTTCGAGGTACAGAAGTTGAATAAAAGATTTTAAACAATTATTTTTATAGAGCTGTTTTATTACTTGAATGTATCCATTTCGTTCATCGTTGCAATAACGGTGCATGGCCAGATTGGATTCGAAGGTAATTTGCCTAAAATCAAACAATCCTATTAATAATGTTTTCTCAGTGGAATGTCTTTGCCAGGTCGATTATTTACTTCTTCAGCAACTGGAAGTGGAGGATGTGTTCCCCAAACACCTCTTCAACCACAAAGTTCAATTCGTATAGGAGGGGGTGGTGGAGCCTCTCGTCGAACTGCTTTAATGCAACGGGCCATTGGGAGGGCTCTTTTCTCTTGGGCCTTTCAATTAGGTATTCGACTTCAACGTCAATTGGATTTAGAGACGGAATTGAAAAGTACTGCGGAAATTCGGAATTTAAAATTAATGGATGAATTGGAGGATTTTTTGGATGATGGAACTGTTAATACAGGGGATAAAGATGGTGAATTAATTTATTTTTAAAACTTATTTGTTGTATTATCTTAATTATAATTACCCTTTCTCAAATAAATATTTCATCTTATATTATTACAACACCCTCAGGGTCCAAAGGAGAAATTAAGGGTTAAATGACAGGGTTAAATATCCTGGATAAATACACCAAAGAAAATAGCGAAAATAATGTATTCCTGGTGCGGTTTCCCTTAGGTTGAGTTAAATAGGACGCAACGTGAATGCTTAATATGTGGTTAAAGTTGTTGTTTTTCCAACTATTAATTCTCAAAAAAATTTAGGCAAAGGATTGGGCACTGCTTTTCCTGTAGCATTACAATTAATGGTTTGTATGCTTTTGCAACAAATAACTTCTTTTCTTCGTGAAACCTTTCAATTATTACCTCGTAGCAGACAACTTTCTCAAAAAGCAAATAGTGCTGTGTCTAGTGGTTGGGAACGTTTACAGGTAGTTATTGAAGCTTAAAATTAATGCCTCACAAGCAGTGCTTCGAAATTTCAAATTTGCTCGTACTCGTACTCGTACCTCGTACCACCCTTATTTTAGGCCTAGTACTCGTACTCGTACCTCGTACCACCCTTATTTTTGGCCTCGTACCTCGTACTCGTACCTCGTACTTAATCGTACTTGAGAAAAAAGCAAAAAATCGAAAATTTTTATCATTTTTTGCTTTCAGGACATCTATTTTTAAATTTTAAGCGTTGTATGTGATAATTTTTGAATATTGAAAGGCTTTGAAGCTGTAAATCCTCCAATTTCATCCATTTTCTGCGCCGCAGGCGAAATTTTTGAGTTTTTTGGAGTGCATGGAGAAATATTTCCTCCATGATGGGTCGGGCTACCCGAAACTCAATACATTTATTCATACATTTTCCATCTTCTTACATGGAACTTATCCTTTCCACCGAACTTTTCACATTTTAATCTCCTGATATCCCTTTTAATCTCAAATCCCTTTTTTCAAAAATTTTGCGAATTTTGGATGTCCTTAAGTCAGATTTCTATTATTTTTTGCGCCGCAGGCGAAAATTTTGAAAATTTCTGAAGGCCGTAGGCGAAAAAAACTCACTTTTTAGAGGTACAATGAAAATTTTTAAGAATTTTAGAGGGCCAAAATCTCATAATTACTCCATGTAAAAATAAAAAATTTTTTTTAAAACAAAATTAAACTTATAAAATGGGTTATTTATGGAAAGAAAAATATTAAAATTCATTGTCCAGTGAATAGGAATCGAACCCAATACTAAATCAATAAAGACTTTGGTGAAGCCACGCACCTTCACCACTCGGCCACCCGCTCCTATGATAGCGAATGAAAGGAATTAATATTTTTCTTTCAATTTTCCTATTAACACCAAGTACGAGAAGTACGAGCTCGTACTTAGGCCTCGTACTCGTACTTTTCACTTTTTTTTGGCCTCGTACTCGTACTCGTACTTCGTACCTGCCCAATTTTTTTGCTCGTACTCGTACTCGTACTTCGTACCAGGTACGAGTACGAGTACGAGGTACGAGTACGAATTTTGGTACGAGCTTCGAAGCACTGCTCACAAGTACTAACTGAAATTTAGTCAAATCGTCGTTGGTCCATTTTATCAAATACTTTCAATCCTCAAATGTTACAACAACAACAACATTTAGATGTCGTTAGCGGTTCTGTCCATTCAATTAATGAATTGCATCCGGAACGCCGTATAAGTTATTCAACAGCAGATGATGAAAATTCCCCTAGAGGATCACATGATTTAGTAGGGGAAGAACAACATTTACAATTACTTCAACAACAACAAATTTTAGAGAAAACTGGAAAAGGTAAGGGGGGAATCATTATAATAAATAAATAATAAAAAATATTTATAATTAAATTTCTCCTTGATATCTCCTTCTGCTTTTTGCCGTTTTTATTTAGCTTAAGCTTTGCCTTTTTTGATTTTATATTGAAATGGGAGTCGAATACAGTAAATCCTCTAAAATAAGCCATGGGGCTTATTTTTTTCGATCGACCTCTAGAGGGGGGCTTATTTTAGAGGGGGGGGGCTATTTTTGAGGATTTACGGTGCTTGGATTTTTATTTTTCTTATTTATAGAGTTAAATAATACCTTCAACTAATTTTATATCAAAATAATTTTGAAGTTTATTTTAAAAATAATTTTCTAAAATATTATTTGTATTAATTTAATTTTATCTCGTTAACTAAAAAATGTATTTAATTATTTAATCCCTCATATTTAACATAAAGTCTCAACAGAAAAATCGCCATATTCTCGTCATATCCACCCTCGTTCTAATACTCAATCTCCTTCTTCATTATCTTCTACTTTTCTTCGATTTGCCTCTCGTTCTCGTCTTTTTGGGAAAGTTGATTATTACTCTCCATTAATGCAGAATGACCCAACAGAATTAATTAATAATTTATTACAAACAGAAAAAAATAATTTTCAACGAAGAAATTGTTTAAGTGAAGAAAGAAAATACCCTCCATTAATTGTTGATAAAGTTAGAAGCGAAAAAAGTAGAAGAAGTGCCGGGGCTGGGAAAGATTTTGGAAGTAGCCATAGCCGTTCTAGATCAGGTTAAAAATACAAACAACAATAACAACAATTAAATTAACAACAACATTTAATTTTAAATTGCTTTCCTTTTCTGTCTCTTTAAATGCTTTTTGCTTTCGTTTAAGCTTTCATTACTTTGAAACTTTATTCGGTACTTATCGGTTATTTGCCCACAAACTGAGTGCCATCCAACATTGATTGGCTACAAATTTTTATTGAGGGCTTCAAATAAATCTTATATCATTCGAAACCCTCGATAAGAGGTACCTTTTTTCTATAGGATAGATCAAGTCTGATCTTTCACAATAAGTCCAGTTATTTGATGTTTTTTACATATAAAGGGTTAATGGGTGATTAGACTTGATCCATTTAATTGAAAAAAAGTTTCCTCTTATTGAGGGCTTTCGAATGATATAAGATTTATTTGAATTGGATCAAGCATCAAAAAGTTAAAGCCAATCAAATTCAGCTGGCACTCAGTTTGTGGGCCTATAACCGAAAGTACTCTTTATTTTTTCAATTCTGTCTTTTTTAAACTTTATTTTCTTTTTATTTTCCAAAATTTCCTTTCCTTTTTATTTTCCAAATAAAATTTATTTAAATTGTCTTTAAAATTATTTTAGTTCGCCGATTAGCTCAAGGAAGACAGCGCCTTCTTAAAAGAAGTTCTCCTTCTTCAGGAGGTATTGCCCAACAACAAACACCCCCTCCTAGTGCTTCTTCTGTTGTTGACACCTCCTCTTCTGTATTTAATCCTAATTTAAATAGATCTTTTAGAGAATCTTTTAGGTAAAAATATATTTTTAGAAAAATTTTGAAAAAAATTTTAGAATAAGAAAATTCTCAAAATCAGCACACCAACATCCCTCTACTGCAGTAGAACCTGTAGACGTGCCAGAATCAACTTATGTCGAGTCTGGTGAGGGAAATATAATTTATTTTTTAATTATTTTCGCTTTTTCTAAAAAATCGCTTTAATTTTTTAAAATTAGCTTCTAAAAAATATTTTTCCCTCTATTTTACTTACTCCCTTATGGCTAGTACTTTTTTAACGTATACTGAACATTTACTATATATCTAAAATATTTTGTAACCCTTTTTAAACCTCTAAACGTGCCAGATATCGTTTTCTGGCCAAAAACTTTAATTATTGCAGTGAATATTTCTGGGCTAATTTGTCCATCAAGTTTCCAATATAGGCATAAATAAATCCCATTTATTTAAATTTAAAATAGAGGTGTGCTTTTATTTTTATTTTTTGCTTCAATTTTTTGCTTCTTTTTATTCTCCAGTTCCCTTAGTAAGACGTGCTACGGCAGATGACGATCCTTGTGTTGTTGATAGAATAAAACAACAAAGAATGGTTTCTTTTGCGCATCGTCGTCGTCGAACAACTTCATTCAAAACTCGAGTTTCCCGTTCATTAATTCCTAGACATTCAATGCGTGCTGGGCGTAGCCGAACAGAAAATAATGATGAAATAGATTTGGAATTAGGTGAAAATGAAAATATTATTTTGGCAAATTCTGAGGAAATACCCCCGTCTTCTTCTGAACAAACAACAACAAATAATCAACAAGGAGGTCCTTCTCGATCACCTATTTTTATGCTTAGTATGGCTCAAAGAGGTGTTTTTTGCTTTCTTTCTTTTTGTTTTGCTTGCTTTTTTTCTCTTTTTATTTGATTTTTTAATTAATATTTTTTATAAAATTTTTAAAGGTTCTAGACTTAAACCAACATTAGATGGACAACAAATACAATCACAACAACAACAACAACCTCCACATTCACCAGAACGTTTGTCATGTGGAACTGCTGCATCTGTTATACAAAAAGAGCAGGCAGAGGAGGATGATGAAGAAGAAATGATTAGAAATATGCCTTGGTTAAAGGTAGATACCGATTTCCTCTAAAATACCCCAGGGAATTGTTTTTTCGATCAACCTCTAGAGGGGTTATTTTAGAAAGAGTGCTATTTTAGAGGAAATACGGTACCTATATATTGTTTTTTAATTTTGTGAATACATAATACATATAAAAATTATTTTTAGACACTTCTAGCCTTTAGTCAACGCTATGGGTTTACATGTGCTCATGAAAATTTTTGTTCTAAATGGTGTTTTGAGAGAATATATAGGTAGGTAAAGATAAAAAAAATAAAAGATATATAGGTAGGTAAGATAATATTAATTATTGCCTTCCGAGAGAATTGAAAGTAACTTTTAGTAAAAGATTTTAGACTTCTATTTTTAGAAAAGTTGCTCCAAAAGTTTTAATTAAACTCCTCAAATATTTTAGGACTACTGAATTTACTCTTTTAATTTTTAGACAATGTTTACGTCTTGTAGAAGCTTTATCTTTTGTTTATGGCAATCATTCCCTCGAGGGCCGAATCGACAGGCGCCAGCAATTTATTGATAGATGGCAAAGTATTCAACATAATGCACAAGTAAAAGAATTATTTTAAGAATTTTTGAAATTATTTTTTAATTTTAAAGAAAAGGCACTCTTCAAACCCTCCAAGAAGAGAGAGTGCAAATGTCCGTCAAAGCGGTGTTGATCGAATGCCTCTTGCCTTGAGAGGGCTAATAATTGAAAAATTGATGGAAATTGAAGAGATTAAGGCTAAAAAGACGGATGTAAGAGAGAATATTTAATTAAAATAAATAAAATTAAAATAAAAGGAAATGGAAGCAATTGCGGAACCTAAAGAACTTAAACAACAAAAAAATTCTCCCATTTTTGGAATATTAAAAACACAATTATTAGGATTAGTTCATTCACCCCTTTCTACGCTTCTTAAAAGTATTGTTTTAATAAAAGGGGAACAACTTGTGCCTGTTATTCCGATTGCTTGGACTTTACTTACTCGAATTGAAGATTCTAATTTAACAGCAACTGCTGGTCTCTTTTAATTTAAAAATTATTTTAAAAAATTTATTTTTAGCGGCATTTTTTATTTGTTGTGCAGTTAAATGCCCACAAGAAATTAATTCTTTAATGGCTGCTGATCTTGCATCAACTGATCCTTCTGTTCGCACTTTAGCTATTAAACGTTTTTATGTTCTATGGCGTCAACGTTTTCATGTTTGGTTGAAATTGGAAGAGGGGGCCCAACTTTTATTTAAAGTAAATTTTAGGAAGATTTTGCTTTAGATAAAAGAGAATGTTGGGTTTTGGGATTCTTTAAATATTTTAGAGCAAACTTTATCAGAAAGCTTTATAATTCAATTTAGGTCCCCCCACCAAGTATTGACTTTACACTTCCATCCCCTTCAATTGGCCAAAGTCAAGTACCTATTGTCGATCCACCATGGATGCCACCATTAAAAACTAAAATAGAGGAATTATCATTAAAGGAAGAAGAACAATCAACAACACAAACAATTATGGCAATGACTAGAACAAGAAGAAAACAAAAACAAGAAATGGTTAGAAAAGCCTTAAGGAGAGCTGAGGAAAGGCAGAGAGAATTGAGAGAACAATTTCCGTTTAGAGCAACTGCTATTGTTCAACAAGTAAAGAATTTTGTTTAAAGAACTAATTTAATAATTACAATAATTATTTCAAGTGACCATAACCATCTAATGAAGTAACCATTAGATGACTCTCAAGCTTACTCCCTCCGATTTAATATCACTCGATATACTAAAAATTTTTTTCGTTCCTTTCAGTTCTTTATATCGAGAAAATACACCCCGCTTCGATTGGTCTAATGAACCTCTCGAAATACTAATTTATTTTTGTCAAGATTGGCATTTCTTTAGTATAATTTTCTTTTCCTTCCCTTTAAGGCAGCTTATGAACCAGCTCTTTTCCAACATCAACAATTAATTGTTCAAGCAGATAATTCAACTTCAGGTGTAACAGGTGGAGATGAATCTACTATAGCAGAGACAGCCCTTTCCATTCCTACAAGACAAATAGCTATACCTGTGGCGCAGCCTTTATTTCCATCTTCAATACTTTCCGTTGTACCAACAATTGTAGAATTATTAGATGACCCTCAAGTTGACAATGGAGGGGTTTCAGGTGTTTTTTATTTGAATATCTTATTTAAGTTTCCGTTTTATTAGAGCATTTATTTCACATCAGAATACTTGTTGTAATTAAATTTTGGTTTAATGCCGTTATTTAAAAAGAATCAAAAATGTAGTTTAAGTCCGTGCAAACTCATTGCATTGAATATATAAGAGCCATTTTCTACATACTAGAATGCCCGGTCATTCTATTTTTAAATCACCTTCCAAAGGGGCATTCTATTAGGGGGTATTCTAATGGAGGAGGGCATTCTATTGGAGAAGGGCATTCTATTTTTCAATGATCCTCCAGAGAGGCATTCTATTGGGGGGGGGGGCATTGCATTAGAGGAAATACTGTATTAATTCATAAATATTTTTTAGTTGGCGAAACCTGCCGAAATATAATTTGGAATTGTCTTGTTGAAGATACTGCTTTATTTCTTCGCCACTTTTTTGAAAAATTTACAAATCGAGACAAACAAGTTTTCAAAATATTTTTAAATTTATTTTAAAATATTCCTTTATAGAAACAAATGCTTGCCCTTCTTCGCCGGCTCGTTCTTCGTTTTCGCCCTTTACCCCCACAAACTGCACATACAATTTTAAATGCTTTATTGGGACTTGTAATGTTTTATGTAAGAACGCCGGGAGGAGGTAGTGGAGGAAATGAAGGAGGGGAAATTGGAGGAAGTGATCGTTCTTTGGCTTTAGCTTTGTCTGTTTGTTGGTTAATTGTTCCTTATGTTCATGGTCTTTATTTCAAAGACTTGAAACAAACCTTAAAAAAAGAACAATGTGATCAGGCTATTATGATTACTGCTAATTTACCTAGCGCTAAAAAGGTGTTTTTAATTTTTAAAAAAATTAAAAAATTTAGAGAAGCTTTGGATACAAATTAATTTTATAAATAGTTTACACTGTATATTTTAGTAAGCAAAGTCTGGAAAGATTTTTAAAAATATTTTTTTAATTTTCATAAATTAATATTCTTATGTTCCTGTCTTTATTTGAGACATTTAATTTATTTTAAATAAACTATTTTTTATTCAAAAAATAAATTTACTAGGTGTTAGTTCATGGCCTTCCTTCGGACCAATTACAAAGTGCCGGTTATAGTGGAATTCCAGCACAATTTCCAGTACTCGAAGAAACACAATTTCAGCATTTAATTAACGAATCTCTCAACTTTTTTGGTATTGAAGAAAATGTTTTAAACAAACAACAGCAATATTATCTTTACGATCCAAAAACTTTTATTTTACATAATCCAAATTCTTATGTTCGGTAATTTAAATTTAAATATTTTCCATAAAAAAATTATTTTTTTATTAAAGAGATTTTTATTTCTTTCACCGTTCATTTTATCCTCAATTACAACTTTTACGTCTTGATGCAGAAACAGCAGAACAAAGAATTCGAGAACATTCATTTCATCAAAAACTTATTGAAACTGGAAAAGTACTTCTTACGCATAGTGGGTTTAATAATTTAAAAATATTGTTATTATTTAGTTTTTTGTTAATTTTAGCTAGAAATATTTTTGCAGGCACATTTAAGTGTTAAATATAATACATAATTGTTGAATCACTTAGCGAGACTGTATCCACTTTTTAGTCCCTTAGCAATAAGGGTTTTCATCTGCTGACGAGGGATCGAATGGATACCTAAAAAAAACTAAAAAGAGCTTTGCTATTAAAATCTCCATTCAAAAATAGGTACTTTTCGGATGTGAAATTATCATTAGATTACATATATTAAATTGTATTCAGAATGTGTTTAACTTAATATTTAAAATTAATTTTTAGATGCTCTCCGTCATTCACCCGAATCAGTTGTTCCCCAAAGAATATTCTTTCTTCATGACGAATTTACTCATTTACCATCATTCCCTCGCAAAGCTGTAGAATCGTGCTTTGGAATGTATCAAGGTCTTTGGGGTGATGAATTACAAACAATGGATGCTTTACATAAATTCTCTTGGGCAAATGTAAGATTTTCTCGGTACTCCTAAAATTCCATTTTTAACTCCTAAAATTTTCTTTCTTCCCCTTCAAAAATTTCTTAATTTTTTAGTTAATGTCAAATATGTTTGAAAAAATGGAGAATGTTTTTATGTTTGGTGATTTACATTTATTTATAAATGTAATTAATGGTGTTATGGTAATTTTAAGAAAAATAATTTTTTAAATTTTTTATTAGATAATTCATTGTGAAGACGTTTTAATTCTTCGTCGTTGTATGACAGCTTATTTAACAATGAGTATTCACTTTCAATCTCTTTTTGCTATTCAAGGATTTTTCTTAATTATGCCTACAATACTACGTTGTTATTGGTGGGTATTTTAATTTTACAAGAAAACATTCAACAAAAATACAATTTTAATACAAGATTTGCAAGGGAAATAATCTTATCGTTTTTATCATTTTACCACTCATCTTTTCTCATAGACACAATACAGTAGCCGTTCGAAAAGAAGGAGCATCAGTCATCTTTCACTCATCATCTTCGCCGCCAACAGATTTTGTCGCGGAGCTATTTTGTGTAAATATGGCACGGTCAAGACTGCTCAGCGTCTAAAAAAAAGAAATTTTTGTTTAAAAACAGAATGCCAAAAATTTCAGAATTTTACCTCATAACCAGCTGTATCACCCATACTACTTTCCTCCTTTTTGATCTCTTCTTTTAGAGATGGCTGAGACTTTGTCTTTTCATTGCTGCTTCCCTTCTTATGATGATGGTGAGGCTTCTTCTCCTTCTTTGTGTCATTTTTATCCTTTTTGTGAGTAGAACTAATTTTACTTTTCTGAAGCTTTTTGGAAATATTTTTCTTCGTTGAAATGTTCTTCTTCTTGCTCTCAGCCAAACTCCTCTCTTCACTTTTTGTTACTTCAACGGTCGATGCATCTGTATGTTCGGTTTCATCTGTTTGTTCGGCTGTGTCCTGTGTTTGGTTGGTATCCTTTGACTTCTTTTTGTTCTGAAAAAGAAAATTAATTTTCAAAAATTTTCTTCAAAGTCTACCTTCTCTTTCTTCGTTGACCCCTTGGCAGTCCCGAATATACTATTCATGTCCAGCTTCCCAAGAGTTTGGTATTCAGCCCCTTCAGCAATTCCTTTCTGTCCAGGTGCCTCATCAACCATTTTTGGCGGACCCAGTTTTGGCGTTAATTTTGGAAGATGCTGGACAAATATATTTTGATCTAATTTGTCCAATGTCATGTAGCCACCACCATCCGCCATTCCTGAGTCGTGTTTGTCGTCCTTCATTTTTGGAAGGCCAACTGCTGTCTGTGCCAATTGCTTTTGTTTTTCTTCTTTTCGCTCGTCAATCATTTCCGGCCCTTTACTTTAGGGCTGTGCGTCATGGCGTTTGGCGTTTGGCGTTTTGCGTTTTGGCGTTAATTTTGGCCGATTTTTGGCGTTTTGCGTTTGGCGTGATTTTCCGATTTTGGCGCGCCAAACGCCAAAAATATACACCCCTAATGATGGAATTTTTTTAAAATAAATGGAGAAAGGGATGATCGAAAAAGGAAATTTTTCTGCGTACAGTCATCCAAAATTCTCAAAATTTTTGCCTGCGGCGCATAAAAAATGAAGAAATCTACTGCTTGGACTTCCAAAATTTTCAAAATTTTCGCCTGCGGCGCTTAAAGGAGGAAGCCCTTATCTTAAACTAATAGATGGTAGAAAAAAACTTTAGTCCCGTCAATCGTTTACTCTCTTCATGAGCTCTGTTATACTCATTACTCGCTTTATCCCTTCATATCCACCTTAATCTCAAGAAGTTCTATGAATTTCTTATTTTTTTAAATTTTTTAAAGGATGAATTTCGGCTTCTTTGCCTCCAAAATTCTCAAAAATTTCGCTCCGGCGGTAAAAAAGGATGAATTCTGGCTTCTGGGAATCTTGAAAATTCAAAAAATTTCGCCTGCGGCGCTAAAATGAGATGAACAGTGGTTTTTAAGTCTTTATAGACACTAAAAATTTTGGCGTTTGGCGTTTGGCGTTTTGGCGTTGATTTTGGCCGATTTTTGGCGTTTGGCGTTTGGCGTGTTTTTAAAATTTAAAAAATTGGCGTTTGGCGTTTGGCGCGCCACGCGAAAATTTTGGCGCACAGCCCTGCTTTACTTGACTTGCTTTTTGATCCTTCCTTCTTCTCTTTTGGTTTCTCGCTTGGCTTTTTGACAGACTTCTTAACACCTTGCTGTTGTCCAACCGTTTGTTGTGCTGATGGAGCTTCCGTTGCAGCAGGGGCGGGCTGTGGTCGAACCAATCTCTTTTAAAAAATAAAATTAAATATTTTCGAAAAAAGACGAATATATCCACCTTTTTTTTCTTCTTTTTGCAGCAGCAACATTGCAGAGGCAGAAACGTCCCAGAAAGCATCAAAAAGATGAGAGTAATTGTAAGAAACGTATAGGTTGCGGGGACCGCGAGGGCCAAACTCAATCCTTCCGAAGACATACGTTAAGGATCGAGCTGAAGAGTTGGCTTGAAAAGTTGAAGAACGCGTCGTTGGAGTTTTGTTGGACTCGATGGAAAGTTGAAAATCTGATAGGATTTTTAAAACTTAATCCAGCTTTTATACTGCCACATTATGTAGTATTATTGGCATTCTATACCATCTATAGCCACATTCTCAATCTTATGAAAAATTAATTCTAGCATTAATTTTTGACAAATATGAATTATGTTTACTTCTTACGTCTTACAGATTTAATTGTAAATACGTCTTACAGATTTAATTGTTCTTACGTCAGATTTAATTGTTCTTACTTACGTCTTACAGATTTAATTGTACTTCTTACGTCTTACAGATTTAATTGTAAAAGGGAGATCATTTTTATTAAAATTTTATATAGTGGTAACTAGCCATGATTTCTCTAAGCTTGCCTATTTATCTTGAATGTATCCCGTGCACTAAAAAATTAAATAGTTTTAAAATAGAAATTTTAAATTAATTTTAAAGTCAACGGCAACCTAATCGTCTCTTTACTCAAGTAATTGAATTTGTTTGTAAACAATTTTATATTCTTCACCGGAAACCATTTTTTATTACAAATGTAATTTTTAAAAAATTTTAAATAAAATTTATGGAAATAAAAAAGGTTTGGATCAATAGCTGATATTTTGGATCAAAATGATAACGATTTGGAGGCTAGTCCAATGAAAGTTAAAGCAAAATATTTATTTTCTCTTTTACTTGCAATGGAGAAAATGCTTGAACCGATGGACCAATTACAAATTTTAAGGCAATTTTTAAAAAGAATTTTTAAATATTAAATATTCTTTAAGTGTTCTTCCCTATCCAACACCTTTACAAGCATTAGATTTATGTTATAAAGATGAACCTAATACTTTTACAATCCTTACAGATGCAATGGCTAGTTGTGTGTAAGTTTAGTTTAGAATTACTATAGTTATGACTTGAGTTGACTTGGGTTTGTTTACATACATATGTAAGTATATCCTTATCCGACTATTGCTGATTTTATTTTTTTGTTACTTATTGGTATAACCCATGTTAATTTTATATGTCGTATTATTCTCAAATAATTATCACGGTTATATGTATACATAATTACTAAGTTAATTTTATTGAGCAAACCACTAGCGCATTTGCGCGATTATATGTAGTGGTGTCATTACTTTTTTGAGATAAAACATGAATTGTTTTCAATCTATTACTGGAGTAATTAATCTAATGAGACTAATTACTCGAAACAATATTCTATAATATTTCCACAGAAAATTTTAACTTTCAGTACAATTTGTGCATTTGCCGCAGAAACACGTCGCAGTCACCAAATGTTACTTTGTATGCAGTCAATGCTTCCACATCTTTTATTACACATGGAAGAAGAAAGTAGTAATGCAGCAACAGCAGCTACAAGTAAAAACGGAGGTGTTGGGGATGCTTCTGGACATCGTTCACAGAGTGCTGGAATGACTGGGGCTGCATCAACTTTTGCTGAGATAAAACATGAATTGGCTGCTTTTGCAACACTTGGAGTTGAAATGCGTGCATTGGCAAATAGTTGTGATGTTTTGGCAAGAGGGCCAACACGTTCACTTGATTTTTTATCTGCGACTGGCGTTGGAGCTTCTAATGGTAAATAATGCAATATGAATTCTTAGGGAAAAAAATTTTAAAGCATTCTCGACCGCTGTGCGTGAACGTAAAAGCCGTTCATTCCTAGCAACAAATGAACGTGCTGATTCCCCTCAGTTTTTTGATCCCCCAACAATTATTGACGACGAACCAAGTAAACAACAACCAACTGGAGGTCAAAGTCATTCTGGAGGAGGAATAAACAACACTGGAGGTACTAAACCAAAACTGACAATGGCAGGTTGGGCAGATTCTGGTACAACTACGGATATTGAAATACATAAAGAACAGTTTAGAGGGCCTAGAGATGCGTGAGTTTTTCTTCTTTAATTTCTCTTAATTTGCTGAATTTATCACGGAATTGATTAATTTTAAGAAATATTCAAGAAAATATGTTCAAAAATATTTTTTAAGTTTACTCACCCTTTGTGCAATGTTCATTCACCGAGGATCTATTCGCCTCAAAGAACTTTCAAAACTTTTGGCATCGGGTAGTGGACATTCTGCTGAACACTCCTCTACTCGAGTACCTGAATTGCTTGATCATCGTTGTCATTCAAAAATTAGTGAAGTAGCTGTCGCTTTACTTAAATTAGCTCCTTATGATGCACAAACACTTACATGTAATGGATTACGTGATTACTTTACTCACGTTCTTCCAATTGTTGATTGGTCTGTTGAGACTAATAGGTACACATGCATGCCATGTAGGGTTGTCTGAAAGTTGGAAATCCTCGGATATCTGGATCAGAACCGAAAATTTCCGGTATCCAGCCTTTTTCGGATCCGGATTCGACAACCCTATTATAAACCTATATTTTTATTTAAAATACACACAATTCTAAGTATTTTTTAGATCATCAATAAATGTTATTCTTCGACGACTTGATAAAACAATAGTTAAAATAGCTAAAAGGCCATCAATGCGTCGTAGTGCTGCTAATTGGGAAGCTGTTAGTTGTTGGTTATCTGGGCTATATCAAACTTTATTGCATTCCCCTCATATTGCTCATTTACATTCTTTGAAAGTAAATTAATTTTAACAAAAATTTATTTTTACATTTTATTTCAGACAATAACACTTTTATGTCTACGTCTAACACTTGGAGATACTTTAGGCCCCATAGAAGAGCCTACAGGTCCACAACAGCCACACATTTCTACACCAGTTTATTCACACACTGTTTTAAACTCACATATTCCTCCTTCAATTTTTTGTTATGTTGCTTTGAAACTTTTTACTGTTTGGGCAGAAAGTCAAAGATTGGGGCATTTTGGAGCAGTTATTCTTCTTAAGAATTAAAAAATATTTTAAAAATATATTTTAGCAAGCATTCTCCTTGGAATTAATTTGTACATCAGAGGCTATTGGTCCTCTAGCAGAACGTCCTGAAGCACTGTTCTGCCAATTTCTTATTCCGATGTTTTTGCGTGCAGCAATTCCTGGAAAAGGTAATATTATAGGCGGCCAAATTAAATTTTTGACCAAATTCAATTTGGCCGTTCAACTTGAAGGCCGGTCAAACAAGATTTGAACAAGAATTTAATTTGGCCGCCGACATCTACATTAGATTTTGCCCTTAAATGTAATAAAACATCATTCTCATTTTCAGCCTCCCCAAAATTTTATTCAAAAGACTTGCATTTCTGTCTTCATTTATTACAACAAGCCATCTGTCCCCCACTTGTTTCTAAACAAAGTGTTGTTCCAATGGCTGTAAGTGGAAGTAGTTTAGCTAATTCTTTAATGCGAGAAAGTACTACTGGTGGTGGGGGATTGGGTGGAGGAGGTATTGGCGGAATAACTGGTGGAGGAGGAGGAGGGAATGTTGGTGGTTATCGTCAAGGATCTGTTTCTGTTACAGAAAAAGGGGGATTTTCGGCAACCGTTTCAACGGCAAGAATTGTTCGAGATTCTGTTGCTTTGTCTGTTATTTTGGGTAGACCAATCAAAAATAATTTTTTCAATTAATTTTTGTAGCTATCAAAACAATTGTTTTGTGTTTTCAAAAACAATTAACTGTTGCCCATTGGCTTAGAATTTCTCGAATTGGTTAGTATATAATGAAAGATTTTATTTATTTTAATTAAAAAGTTCGAGAAATGGTTGCAAAAAAATGTGGAGGGCAAGCACTTTGTTCTTTCCTCGAATCTATGATTTGCTCTAATTTACCCATTGCTGAAATGCTTCAACCATTAATGCAAATTCGTCTTAGTCAACGACCAGCAAACGATTTAGATGCTTCTTGGCAATCAGAAATGCGTGAAAGGCTTTTGACTATTAAACAATTAAAAGTAGAAGATTCTTTAATTATTTCAACACAATATTCTAATAAATTATTTTATTCTTCTTTTAATATTTTTTATCAATTACAAATACTTCGAAAAGAATTAATTTTATTGAGAGAAGATTTTTCTAATCGAAGTTTAGGTAAAAAAATAATTTTTTTGAATAGAGGGAAGGAAAATATTTAAAATTCACAGAAATTCCCCGTTCACACACTCCAACAATTGGCGGAGAAATTCATTCGGATTCGGGGAGTTCTGGGACTGGTACAAGAGAATCTCGACGTTTAAGTTCCTCTGCAGCCTTGGGAAAACTTCGTTGGATTCAGCCTACTCGAAGTGGAGGAGGAGGGGATGAAAAAAATGCAAAGAAGAGTCTTTCAAGTCAACAACAAGAAAATACTACAACAATTATGGAAATGGAAGAAACAATTGGGGATGATGGAGTAGATAATGCACCAACTACTTCTGGTTATTTTAAAGGAATAATTCTGATAATTTTATATTAGTTTAGCCAGTCTTTTATTGAAAAATAGAAAGAGAGTTTATTTTCTACCTTCTTTATTTTCTACTTTTTTCAGTCCAACGAGTAAACAAAAGCCCTTCGTTACCATTTAGTGCCCGAAGTTCAATGCTTCATGCAAGTGGTATTCGACGCAAAACACCTCCCACCCGTATGCCTAGCGCTGATTCATCAGCTACAACATCAGCAGGTTTAGGAAAGATTTCAGGAAAATTAGAAATGAGTGAAGTAAGCCGAGAATTGGGAAGACGTACAAAATCATTGAGAAGGTACTTGATTAATTATACAGTCGGATATCGGTTGTACGTATATGAATTTTATACGTCTAGGTTTTAGGACTTTTTCATCCCCAAAAATGTACACAACCGAGATCCGACTATAATAGTACTACCTATATTCTTATAAAATTTTAATTAAAGTCCCGGAGGAAGATTTGCAATATCTATGGGGGAAGAGTCTTCCAGAACTGTCCCTACAGAACCGTCAACACCCTCACTAAGTTCTTTGGCTCATGGAAGTACAGGAGAGAGGCCAAGAGGTGAAAATTGTTTTTTAAATAATTATTTTTTTCTCAAATAAAATTCCAACTAGAGGCTAAATCCATAAAATTTAATTTTAAGTTGTCTCTTTTTCAACACCACGGCATAGCAGTATATCTGAAACAATAAGTGAAGCAGATTCAGAAACAGAATTTTGTATTACATCTACTAAACATTTAATCTAAAATGAACGTTGTTATTATTATTTTTCGATTATTTTTGGTCTTAATTAAACTCAACCCTGTGAACTAATTAATTTTTCAACGAGAGGGTGGTTGCTGTGATATTTTCCAACTGGGAGTTAATTAAGTGAGAAAATAACCAAATTAACGAAGAAATTGTATACTAAGTGAGAGATACATTCTAAATGCCCTAACTCATGTATAAACTACTGGGGCAGCTCCTCTCCCCTTTCGTGTCCAACCAAATTAACGAAAGTACACCAAGTTGAAATGTGGAGGTACCCCTAATTCCGGCTGTATTTCTCTTTTTTTAAATTTATTTATTAAATATTTTTCTATTTACAACAACAAAAATAAAATTATTCAACAGATTCAACAAAGCAAAATTATTTATATATTTTATCTTATGAAAATAAATTCTTCTCTCACTTCTAATTTCTTTACTTCTTTTGTTGTTTATCGTCTATAGTAGTAGTAGATGATTAGAACTTTTCTGAAATAAAATAAATTTTAATCAAAAATTATTCTAAAAACTAACCATTAGAACTTGGCTTTGTGGGCGAGCAAATAGTTTTGTTGAAGTTGCATGACATACTCCTTTTCCTCTCTCATCTTTCTGTACTGCTTGTACATGTAGAGAAGAACACCGAAGAGCACAAGAAACGGGAGAACAGTAAAAACAAACATAAAGCCGAGCATAACAAGACTGAACGAAACACCTGCAGCAGCACCAGCAGCACTTCGCTTGTAAGGAGCCATGTTGTTGAGAAAAGATTAGAAGAGCGGACAATTTTGTTGGGTTAAAATTTTAGAGTTCTTTTATAGTATTTTTTTATTTGGTTTGCAGCAGAAGCATTAAAAAAGGTTATTTAGAAATTTTTTTTATCACTTTGATTGTTAGTTTAAATTATGTCCCGAAAGTCAAATATCTCGAAAAATATCGATTCATAACCGGGATTTCTGTCGAGATCTCGTCTCGGTCCGGGCTCTAGTTTAAATCAATTGGTTTTCATAAATTTAATAGATTGAGAATATAATATGTAAAACGAACTAAAATTATTAGAATACAGTGAGATTTTTCTTTAATTTATTTTTTTCACATAAATTAACTCTCATTTTGTATATATTCGTTTGTGATCTTAGGATTTTTTCTTTTATCATTTTTATCACCGACATTACATTAATTAAATGTGAATTATCCTCAATCTAACTCATTTCGTATATAGTATGTACTGTATATATGTGACTTAAAATCCTAGATCTTAAAATCCTAGATCTTTTTTAAATATTTATCGAATACAGAATAAAAAGGAAAGGAGGAGTAGTCAAGTCAAGGTCGAGATTTCGGGACAAATTCTGGTGAATACGAGCGAAAAGGCTGAAAATAATAAAGAAATAGTTTTTAGCTTTTACTTATACTCTCACCTCGGTCTATTCTCCGACAATAAACTCAAAGGAATATCTTATCGTATATATATAGCAGAGTAAATACAAGCATGCAGGCGATGCACGAGTGGGAGGCTTTTGACTGATGGTTATGTTTAAGGCTTGTTTGCCTTAATCGTTATATTTCGTAGTCAAGGTCGGGATTTTGTAAATATTTAATTTGCAAAATTTCAGTTAGGTTTGTTACATCGTTTGGTATACTCGTTGCTATCGCATTAACATTTTTTCGTTTTTAAAAAAAATTGCAGCAGAAGCAAGCTTCGCAGGGATATTGGCTAGTTTCAACAAACGCGCGGCGAACGACTAACATCCGGTCACCCAGCCAAGGGTGAACCGTTAATCGTTTAACCGACCACCTCCTCAAGTGTATTTTTTCGCCACACTTCCTCCATTGGGAACCTTAAGTGGGTCCAAAGCCCACATAAGTGTTCCAACCTCCGACCGGGTGGACAGGCAATTATGTAACAAACCTAACTGAAATAGCACCATACCAGCACCATGCCATTGCGTTTTTGGACTAATCCCGTATCCCTCCACATGCAACCGCTGATGGGGGACATAGGAATTTTAATCATTTTATATATGGTTATTAATTAAAAATTAAATCTTCGATAGGTTGCAAATGAGGTGATTGTTGAGGTGATATGGGACAGTGAGGTTTGTCGCGAAATGCGACTTTTTTATTTATGTTTTTTTACCCTTTTGTCCCTTGTCTTTTTTGTTAAAAATATTTTTATTTTTAAAATTTTATTTTTAATCATGCGTAATCGAATACGCCTACTTCTTTCACATTCTTTCTCTTATTCATTGCACTTTGTATATTTTTTTCTATTTTTATGTTAATCCCTCCCATTTTTTCCTCTATTTAAACGTTAGGTTTTTAGGGTAAAATCAGAGTTTATTTAGTAAATTCTCAGAATTAAGAGTTATCTTTGAGTAAAGATTCTCTCGAGCTTTTCTTTGTAATAGATTTTGTTGAATAAAAGTTGTGTAACTTTTAGACTCGTTTTATTGTTTTATTTTAAAAAGAGTTGAACTTAGAACTTAAAGAATTTGATTTAAGTTTTCTAAGTTTAGAGTTCTTTGACTAAGAGTTAACTGTGTTTCATTTTGAGTTAAATTTGAGATTTCTAGAGATTTCTAGAATTTTAGTTATAAAGTTTAGATTGTAAAAAGATTTAAATAAATAAAGTTTATTGTTTGTGAAACATTTTAAATAGAGTTTTGAGTTAAGATATCTTCTCCTAAAGAGTTCTTTAATTTGATAAAGTTTCTTGTTTGTGAAACTAATTTGTTTACTCGAAAAGAACTCTCATTATTTAGCAAAATATTAAATATTTGTATTAATATTTTTTTATTTTGCGACAATTGGAGCCCCGTACAAAAAAAAGATAAAACAATTTGTTTTGTCAGAAATAAGTTGTTACAATTTGAATTGCTTCAGATAAAGTTATTTGTTAAAAAAAAAGTTCTCTAAAAAGTCTGAATTTATTGAGTTGTTTTATATAAATTTAAAGTAAATTCAAAGTTGATAAAAATGTCTGGACCATATAAGATTATGATAGGTGCAATATTAAAGCACTTAAGAATTAGGATGGAAAATGCTGAAAGAATTATGAATAAAAATGAAATTGATGATGATGAAAAAGAAACAGTTAAAAGTGATGGAAAATTTATTGTAAAAATTTTAAAAACTTTAGACGAAAAAAATCAACTTTGGTTAGACTTTATAAATGGATTAGATATTAATGAAAGAAAAAAAGAAACAAACGCATACGAAAATTTCAATGTTGAAAATAAACATTTCTATGAATGGTTCGAAAAAGGTAGAAAAATTGTTGATTCAATTGACGAAATAAGTCTTCAAAGAATTTCAGATATCTCTGAAAATAATTCGTTAGTAACACAGTTAAACCAAGTTGACCAAAGAGAATTAAATGTTGAATTGCCTAAACTTGAATTGCCCGAGTTTCATGGAGATCCTCATCATTGGATTTCCTTTTGGCAAAGTTTTGAATGTTCAATTGATAAGCAGAATTTTAGTAAAATAGATAAAATGAAATTTTTACTTAATTGTTTAAAAGGAGAAGCAAAAGATTCTATCTCAGATTTAATGTTAACGAACGAAAATTATGACATTGCAGTTAAAATATTAAAGGAACGATTTGGCGACAAAAATATTCTGATTGAAGCTTTAGAATCTGAATTATTTCAATTGTCCGTCTGTACAGAAAAAGCAATTTCATTGAAAAATACAGTCGATAAAATTGAAAAAATATTTCGACAATTAGAAAGTTTAGGAGAAAATACAAATAATTCGATTATGACTTCGTTAATTAAGTCAAAGCTTAATAAAAGTATTTTAATGGAAATTGCTAAAGAAGAAAAAGCTTCAAGTAAAAAATGGAATACTAATGAATTAAGAAAAGCTCTAGTTGGAATAGTTAATATAAGAGAATCAGTTTACCAAACGAGTAAACATTTTAATGTTTCACAAGCTAATAGTCAGTCAACTCTACAAGGGGAAAAGAGTCGAAAATATGAAAAATTTAATAATGATGAAGATAAAAAATCTGAGAATAATGACGAAATTAATGTAGTTAATCAGACTAGATCTTTTCCCGTGACTATAAATAGGAGAAATATTATTTGTTATTTTTGTAATGGAAATCACTGGTCCAATACTTGTAAATATGTTGCAGGTTTGGAGGAACGCAAGAAGCGTTTATTTGAACAGCGAAGATGTTTTCGTTGTTGTGCAAGAGGTCATATTTCAAGAATGTGTTTTAGTAAAAAATATTGTTTCTTTTGCAATGGACCTCATAATACTGCCATTTGTCATAAAAGGACAAAGTTTTTCTTAACCTATGGACCTAATAATGTTAAAATAAATTATAAAAACCGGAAATTCAAAAGTTGGAAAAAGAAAAGCTCAGATTGTAAATTTGTAAGTAAAAAGGTTGAACAACCTAAAATTGAAAATAAAGTTTTGGAAACGCAGAATTTGACAGTAAATACATGTACTTCTTTGTTAAATAATTCGTCGCCGAATTTAATGATTTTGAAAACAAAGGTTTTTTCACCAAGGAATGAAAATAAGAAAATTAGTGTTTCCATATTTCTGGATACTGGAAGTGAAGTTAATTATATTACTGACGAATTAGTTAAGAAATTAAATTTGCCAAAACGAAGTGAAGGTTTTCTAGAAATTTCTACGTTTCAAGGAAAAAAGTCAAAGAAACAACTTACTGGTAAATATTCGATTGGAATTGAAAGAAAAGATGGAAAAAGTGAAATAATCGAGATATTAAGTGTTGATAAAATATCAAACGAATTACAATCTGTTAGTATAAATGGGAATAATTCTAATGTAAAAATTAATGAAATAAAGAAAAATTTAACTAATAATTGTGTAAAACCAGACTTATTAATAGGAATAAAAGATTTTTGGAGATTTTTTAATGGAAAAACTGAAATTTCAAAAGGATGTTATTTGATAAAGACTACTATTGGAAATGTTCTCTGTGGTGAAAATCAGAGAAAATTGAAAAAGACAATGTCAGTCCAAACTCATGTAGTTGTTCACTCTTTTGAAGAGATGTCGAATAAATCTGATGTTAAATCCTGTCGAGATTTTGAAAATGTAAACGTAGAAAAGGATAAAACAGTTCAGAAATTATTAATTCCGTCAGTGAAACAAAGTAATAGAAATGATGAAGAAAAATATTTCTGTAAAGAAGAAATTATTTCAAGAAAGAAGCAATGTGCTAAAGTAAAGCGTAAAAATGTATTTAATAAATGTAAAGAAATAAATAAAGATTTGATAAAGTATTTTTTAAATATAGTTAAAATATTAGTCGTGCTTTGTAAAATGTTGATAATATTCAGTTTGGTTGATTTAAATTATAAATTAATATATTTAAGAGAAACCATGGATTTAAAAGAAGAATTAAATTTTCAAACTCTTGAATTTGATAATAGTAGGGTTGTAATGATTCCGAATTGTGAAAGAAGTAGACTAGAAATACCTGAATTAAATTTGAATTTAATAAAATATAGGAGTAAATCGAAAAGATTGGATTATTTAAAATTTGAAAAGGATATTAGAGATAAAAGATTAAAACAAAGCGATAAATTGTTTAAAACATGGATAAAGAGTATATCCTTAAAGAATAAAGAGAAACAAAACGAAGGATGCTTATGTTTAAGAAAGCTTGTGCACTGGTCGTGAATACTTTCTGCTTATGCTACGTGGAGGCTTTGGAAATGGATGCACCAACTCTAAATGTCCAGTGCTGAATATGAAAGAACAAGAAGAAGGGACTTAAAAGGATGAAGAGGATGTTTCAAAGAAAATTAATTTTAATCCTTTCATCTATTTTTTTGTTTTTCTCGCGCTCCCGAGTGTCGCGAAATGCGACTTTTTTATTTATGTTTTTTTACCCTTTTGTCCCTTGTCTTTTTTGTTAAAAATATTTTTATTTTTAAAATTTTATTTTTAATCATGCGTAATCGAATACGCCTACTTCTTTCACATTCTTTCTCTTATTCATTGCACTTTGTATATTTTTTTCTATTTTTATGTTAATCCCTCCCATTTTTTCCTCTATTTAAACGTTAGGTTTTTAGGGTAAAATCAGAGTTTATTTAGTAAATTCTCAGAATTAAGAGTTATCTTTGAGTAAAGATTCTCTCGAGCTTTTCTTTGTAATAGATTTTGTTGAATAAAAGTTGTGTAACTTTTAGACTCGTTTTATTGTTTTATTTTAAAAAGAGTTGAACTTAGAACTTAAAGAATTTGATTTAAGTTTTCTAAGTTTAGAGTTCTTTGACTAAGAGTTAACTGTGTTTCATTTTGAGTTAAATTTGAGATTTCTAGAGATTTCTAGAATTTTAGTTATAAAGTTTAGATTGTAAAAAGATTTAAATAAATAAAGTTTATTGTTTGTGAAACATTTTAAATAGAGTTTTGAGTTAAGATATCTTCTCCTAAAGAGTTCTTTAATTTGATAAAGTTTCTTGTTTGTGAAACTAATTTGTTTACTCGAAAAGAACTCTCATTATTTAGCAAAATATTAAATATTTGTATTAATATTTTTTTATTTTGCGACAAGGTTAGAGAAAGAAAAAAATTTGCACGCAATTAAAAAATAAATAAAAAGAAACAAAAAATCAGTCTGACCATTAACAAAACAGAGAAAGAAAAGTTGTGGTCAATATCACATAACAGAGAGGAGCTGAAGCGTGCCCGCATATTTTGCCAATTTCATAACTTGCCAATAAGGCTAAAAACCCATATCTTGCCAATAAGGGCAAAATTCCATATCTTGCCAAATCCATATCTTGCCAATACGGATCAAAACCCATATCTTGCCAATAATACTGAAACCCCATATCTTGCCAATAATACTGAAACCCCATATCTTGCCAATAAGGGCAAAATCTTTAAAACTTGCCAATAACTTACCAATCCGGAAAAATAATTCCGGAAATGGTTTCCGGAAAAATCTCGTAATCTAATAAATTATTTTATTCTTCTCTTAATATTTTTTACCAATTACAAATTCTTCGAAAAGAATTAATTTTATTGAGAGAAGATTTTTCTAATCGAAGTTTAGGTAAAAAAAATAATTATTTTTTTGGATATAGGGGAGGAAAATATTTAAAATTAACAGAAATTCCCCGTTCACACACTCCAACAATTGGCGGAGAGATTCATTCGGATTCGGGAAGTTTTGGAACTGGTACAAGAGAATCTCGACGTTTAAGTTCCTCTGCAGCCTTGGGAAAACTTCGTTGGATTCAGCCTACTCGAAGTGGAGGAGGAGGGGATGAAAAGAATGCAAAGAAGAGTCTTTCAAGTCAACAACAAGAAAATACTACAACAATTATGGAAATGGAAGAAACAATTGGGGATGATGGAGTAGATAATGCACCAACTACTTCTGGTGATTTTTTTTTCTTTTATTGAAAAATAGAAAGAGATTTTATCTTCTACCCTCCTTATTTTCTACTCTTTTCAGTTCAACGAGTAAACAAAAGCCCTTCATTACCATTCAGTGCCAGAAGTTCAATGCTTCATGCAAGTGGTATTCGACGCAAAACACCTCCCACTCGTATGCCTAGTGCTGATTCATCAGCTACAACATCAGCAGGTTTAGGAAAGATTTCAGGAAAATTAGAAATGAGTGAAGTAAGTCGAGAATTGGGAAGGCGTACAAAATCATTGAGAAGGTACTTGATTAATTATACAGTCGGATATCGGTTGTACTTGCATGAATTTCGTAATTTTAGGTTTTAGGACTTTTTTCATCCCCAAAAATGTACACACAACCGAGATCCGACTGTAATAAATATATTCTTATAAAATTTTAATTAAAGTCCCGGAGGAAGATTTGCAATATCTATGGGAGAAGAGTCTTCCAGAACTGTCCCTACAGAACCGTCAACACCCTCACTAAGTTCACTGGCCCATGGAAGTACAGGAGAAAGACCAAGAGGTGAAAATTGTTTTTTAACAGCTAAAATTTAAAATAAAAATTCTCCAAAGTCTAAGAATTCATATTAAAGTTGATGTTATAATTTTTGGGCAAAAATATTTTCTCAAATAAAATTCCAACTAGAAGCTAAATCCATAAAATTTATTTTTAAGTTGTCTCTTTTTCAACACCACGACATAGCAGTATATCTGAAACAATAAGTGAAGCAGATTCAGAAACAGAATTTTGTATTACATCTACTAAACATTTAATCTAGAAAATGACGTTGTTATTATTATTTTTCAATTATTTTTGGACTTAATTAAACTCAACCCTGTAAACTAATTATGGTTATTTAAATTCTTCAACGAGACGGTCCTCAGGCATTTTCTGTGTAATATTTTCCAATGGGAGTTAAATAAGTGGGAAAATAACCAAATCAACGAAGAAATTGTATACTAAGTGTAATTTTCGGTTAACAAAAAAAACCGAACTTTATTAAATACATTCTAAATACCCTAACTCAAGTATAAACTACTGGGGATATGTAGATAGCTTAGGCAGCTCCTCTCCACTTTTGTGGCAAGTCCGGCTGTATTTTTCTTTTTTTAATTTATTTATTAAATATTTTTCTATTTACAACAACAAAAATATTCAACAGATTCAACAAAGCAAAATTATTTCAATATTTTATCTTAGGACAATAATATTCTTCTCTCACTTCTAATTTCTTTACTTCTTTTGTTGTTTATCGTCTGTAGTAGTAGTAGATGATTAGAACTTTTCTGAAATAAAATAAATTTTTATCAAAAAAATTAGTACAAGAACCAACCATTAGAACTTGGCTTTGTTGTTGATCATATAGTTTTGTTGAAGTAGCATGACATACTCCTTTTCCTCTCTCATCTTTCTGTACTGCTTGTACATGTAGAGAAGAACACCGAAGAGCACAAGAAACGGGAGAACAGTAATAAGAAACATAAGGCCGAGCATAACAAGGCTAATCGAAACACCTGCAGCAGCACCAGCCGCACTTCGTTTGTAAGGAGCCATGTTGTTGAGAAAAGTTTAGAAGAGCGGACAAATTTGTTGAATTAAAATTTAAGAGTTCTTTTATAGTAATTTAAAAGATTTTTTATCATTTTGATTGTTAGTTTAAATTATGCCCCGAGAGATAAATATTTCGAAAAAATATCCATAACCGGGATTTTTGTTCGAAATCTCGTCTCGGTCCGGGTTCTAGTTTAAATCAACAATTGATTTTCATAAATTTAATGGATTGAGAATATAATATGTAAAACGAACTAAAATTATTAGAATACAGAGATTTTGTTTTAATTTATTTTTTTCACATAAATTAACTCTCATTTTGGATATACTCGTTTGTGATCTTTGGATTTTTTCTTCTGTTTATCATTTTTATCACCGACATTACATTAATTAAATGTTAATTATCCTCAAACGTCTCGTCCTAACTTAAAATCCTGGATATAAATTTTAATATCTGTCGAACAAAGAATAAAAAAAGAAGAGCGAACAGGCTGAAAATAATTAAGAAATAGTCTTTTGATTTTACTTATACTCTCGCTTAGGTCTATTCTCCGACAATTAACTCAAAGGAATATCTTATCGTGTATATGTAGCAGAGTAAATAAAACTGGCGGTAATAGTTCGGTTTAGACCCCGCACTCTTTTTTCTGACCATTTTTTCATTTTTCCTTCCCTTTCTCCTTTATTTTTCATGAGGCAAGTATTAAAAAGGATTATGCAAGTATGTACAGGGTGACTCAAAAGTCTTTGCCCGCACATTTTTCGACATAACTTTATTTAAACTTAATCAAATAATATAAAAATACAATCAAATAATAGAGAATTAAATGGAGAAAAAAATGTATCAAGATTTTTCGAAATACCTCTCTTTGGGTTTAAGATAGAGGCGCAAACGCAAACAAAAATTTTTGCAAAATTGCCGCACCTATTATGGTGTAATTTTTTCCAATTTCTGAACGAGTGATAGTCGGAGTGACTCCAAACTTTGGGGTTATTAAGCAAAGAACGTTGCCTCCAAAATTGACCAAAAAGATAAATCCATGGATTCAAACCCGGTGTGTACGGTAGCCATTTTTGAGGCACACTAAAACCGAGAAAATTGGCAACAAGACAACCTTGCATCACTTTAGCCTTATAATCAGGGGATGAATTCTACTTATAGATCTAGTCCCTATACCAAAAGTTTTCCCAGACCCAGGGCTCTAAAACACACTGAAGGATTTCGAGTAGATCAAAGTATTTATTCATTTTGACCCAAGGATTGATAAAAATCAAGGAATTTTGATCGTTTTGCAAATAACAGTCCATATCATTTCAAGGGAAGGGTTTTGGAAATCCTTAACAACTGGATAAGAAAGAGGAGATTTTGAGGCCCAATATCAGTCATTTTTGCGATTCGCACATGTCTCTTTCATAAAAATTTTGACATCTGAAAAGAGGAACCGAGGAGGTGCGGCAATTTTGCAAAAATTTTTGTTTGCGTTTGCGCCTCTATCTTAAACTTAAAGAGAGGTATTTCGAAAAATCCTGATACATTTTGTTCTCCATTTAATTCTCTATTATTTGATTGTATTTTTATATTATTTGATTAAGTTTTAATAAAGTTATGATGAAAAATGTGCGGGCAAAGACTTTTGAGTCACCCTGTATATATGTATGAATGAGAAAATTTCTGGAAAAACTCATTTACATCATTCCATAATCAACATGGGGCAACTAAAAAATTTTAACATTATTGTGATTTGGGTGACAAAATAAGATTAAGCGACAACGATTTCGATGCTTGGCTCGAAAAGCTGGGACTTCTTCATGGAAATATCACAATTTGGTGATGTTTCTCAAGTTATTTTTACATTTTTGGTATCATGTTTTTCTTTTTTATCCTGTTGAAAAAAGTAAATATTACTATTTTTTCATTTTTCCTTCTCTCCTTTATGTCCTTTTTAATACTTGCCTCATGAAAAATAAAGGAGAAAGAGAAGGAAAAATGAAAAAATGGTCAGAAAAAAGAGGGCTGTAGTTTAGTCGAGGGCCCGCTCCAAACCGGGTCGAAACATATGTCATTCGATTCGTCTCGGCGAGCTGAGTCGAATGGTACCACTCCCTAAGTGCGGAAATGCCTGTGGACCGAGATATAGGTCCCTGAAATTTGAAAAACCAAAGGGGGGAGTAAGCTGAATTTTGGGGTGAAAAATTCGATTTTTTGTATGATAGCTCATTTGAAAGAGCTCCTCGAGCTAAGTCGAATGACACCAGAATCAGCTCTAGTTCTAAATTTTGAACCGAGAGAAAGAGGCCCAAAATGGTCAAAACACATAGGGCGATTTTAGGGGTCAAAAATTTGAATATACAAATGATAGCTCATTCGAAAGAGCTCGACGAACTGAGATAAATGACACCAAAATCAGCTCGATCCGATGATTCTGAACAAAATTATGAACAACTTAACTTTCGCGCGAATAACTATTTGTGCTGCTGCGGAGGGTAGGTCGGCATTCAAGGCTGAGAATCGGTAAAAGGAATAGGATTAAGTTACGAGCCCAGACCCAGCGCCCGTAGACTCCCCGCGAGGCGCGTGCCGCAAAACCCCGCGCGAAGCGCGGGGTTTTGCACAAGCGCCTCGCCGACGCTCCATAGGTTTAAGTTGATCATTTCGAGCCCTATATCTCGGCCCAAACTTGTCCAATCACAGTGATTTTGGCGTCATTCGACTCAGCTCGAGGAGCTCTTTCGAATGAGCTATCATACAAAAAATCGAATTTTTCACCCCAAAATTCAGCTTACTCCCCCCTTTGGTTTTTCAAATTTCAGGGACCTATATCTCGGTCCACAGGCATTTCCGCAGTTAGGGAGTGGTACCATTCGACTCAGCTCGCCGAGACAAATCGAATGACATATGTTTCGACCCGGTTTGGAGCGGGCCCTCGACTAAACTATATCCAAAAAGAGTGCGGGGTCTAAACCGAACTATTACCAAACTGGCTAGCGATGCATGAGTAGGAGACCCTTGACCGATGGTTATGTTTAAGGTTTATTTGCCTTAAACATTGTATGTATGTATTTCGTAGTCAAGGTCGGGATTTCGTAAATATTTAATTTGCAAAATTCCAGCTAGGTTTGTTATGTCGTTTAGTATACTCGTTGCTATCGGATTAACATTTTTTCGTTTTTCACCTCTGGTACGGTTAAGTTTCTGGACAAATTGGTGTGTATACGATCTAGTGGTTGTATCAGGGATCTTGCCGTCTCGATCCCAAAATCTATAATTCCCAACGTTTTTGCAATAATTGGTGCGGAAACGCCTTTTATAACTGGCGTTGAACCGTGTGCGCTGAACGAGCTGGCGCTGAAACCTGGGCACTGAATAGGGCGCCGAATCAATTCCCATCGGTTCCGCAAAGATTTTTTAGAAAAACAAACAATTTTTTGCCGGCCTCTAGAAGCTGCCATTTTTTACGGAATGGCTAAAATTAATCTGCAACGACAAATCGTCATAAAAGAAAAATTTATAAAAAGTTTGCGAATTTTTTTCATCCATGTTATGTAGCTGTTTAATTTGTTTTTTCTTGATATTTTCTTACTTATATACATTTTAGACGAAATTAATTTTAATCTTTTTTTAAATATTAAATGGCAAATTATCAACAACAACAAATTCAAGTTTTCTAAAATTATTTTTAAAAATTAAAATATATATTTTTTAGTCCTCTTCTACAACATTTCCTCAATATTCACAAAATTTTAGACAGACAACTTCTCAATGTTTATTTTTTTAATTAAAAGTCTAAAATTATAAAATTTTTTTCACAGAAATTTTTTTTGGGGAAAAGAAAAGTTTTTTACTAGAGGTCGGCGCGGGACGGGATCCCGACGGGGTTTCCGGGGTCCCAAAATCCCGGATTTTTTTGATTTTCTGGATCCGGGATTTTTTCGGGATTTATCCCTCGGGATCCCGTCCCGGCATCGGTTAAGAAAAAATCCCTACTCGGGATCCCGGAAGTTTGATTTTGCCGACCTCTATTTTTTACAAAATTTTTTTTAAAGTTAAACAATTTTTAATTTTTCTATTTTTAAATAAATTCTTTAAAAAATTTTTTTAGCCAATCAACAACAACAACAGTCATTACTTCCAATTGAACAAAGAATTAATCCGCTAGGTTTACCTCCACAAATGCTTCTTAATTATGACAAACATTCAATTGAAACTCTTTGCACTTTGGGGAAAGAATTAATTTTGGAATTAATGACGAGAATGTTTACTATTGTAAATTAATTAATTTTTTGGGGGGGAATTTTATAAAATTTTGGGTATTTTTTTGTTGGGTATTTTTGGGTATTTTTTTGAACAATTTTTGATCGTTCACAAAATAACAATTTTTTCAAATTTTTCTTCCTCAAAAATTGTTTTCATATAAAATACCAAAAATTCTTTTAATTTTTAAAATTAATTTTTAATTAAATTTAAAAGGTCAGCACATTAAAATTAAATATAAAAGGAGATAAATCTTTACCAAAAAACGATAATAATAATGTTGACAATGTTCGTCTTCAATTGGAATATTCTCGTCTTATATTTATGGCTTTGACTGAGGTTTGTTTATTTTTAATGAATTTAGAAAGAAATTAAAAAAATATTTTTTATAAGGGGAATTTTTTGATCTTTCACAAATTCTAAAAAAATTTTACTCTTCCAGTTGAAAATCGGCTGTAGTTTAGTATATCGGAGTTTTAGTTCCGATAAAAGACCCCATACTATTCGATTCGTCTCGAAGGCTGAGTCAACGTTCCACTCTTTTTTCCGGAGACGTCTGTGGACCGAGATATAGGCCCCCGAAAATCGAAAAACCATAGGGGGGAGTAAGCACATTTTTGGGGTGAAAAATTCGATTTTTTGAGCGATAGCTACTCCCCCCTATGGTTTTTCGATTTTCATGGACCTATATCTCGGTCCACAGACATCTCCTGAAAAAAAGAGTGGTACCATTTGACTCAGCTCGTCGAAACGAATCAAATCGTATGGATCTTATATCGGAACTAAAACTCCGGTATTCTAAACTATTCTATATCCTAAAAATATAAACTTTTTTGTTCCATACACTCTTATATAGAAAATCGAAGAGTTTGATACTAAAAAATTTTTTAAATAAAAACCTCAAATATTTTTCGCAGTTACGAACATTTGTGCTTGATACCCAAAATTACTAATTTAATTTTTTAAAACAATTTTTAAACATTTTCTTTTTAATTAAAAAAATATTTTTATTTTTTTAGATCCGTCTTCGAATTGATTTAAAATTATTTAAAGAATTAAAGACTGGCGAAACATTAAAAACCTGTAGGCCTTCAGACAAGGATTTAATTGAATTACTTTCCAATCCAAACCCCTTAGAAGAAGATTCACAAAAATTGGAAATGTCCAAACAATTCGAAAAAAATCGTCAAAAATTATTAAAAATAAATTGTGAAATGAAAAAATTGGAGTGGATATCAATTAATTCTGACCCGTCAATATTTACAATTATTGGAAATGAAAGTAATGAACAGAAGAAAATGTTAAATGAGGAAAGGGCTAAAAGTAGACAAAGTTGAAAAAATTTTAGAAAATTGAAAAATTTTTGTTGCTAATTTTAAAAAATAAATTTTATTAATTTTTTTAAATATTTTTAAACAAAAAAAATTAGTTTTTGAATTCCTCTGAAATTTTTTTCTTTTTCCTAGACGCAAATGTTTATTGCCACAAAGGCGTCAGATGGAAAATACCTACATATATATTCTAGTATTCAAAATTCCCAACTTCCCTATTAAATTTTTTACAAAGTCGTGTCCTTTAGAAGGTTATCACAAAAAATATTTTACATATAATTAAGGTTAAATATCGATTTTGCTATCTTAATGAAAGCGAACACATTAATTTTAACGTTGATGTTTTAATATTAATTGCATAATATTTTTACATTTCTAAAATTATTAAAAAGCTTTACTGAAATTAGTATTTTAAATTATTTGTAAAATAATCCCTTTAAAATTTATAAAATAATGTATAAAGATTTATTGGCTGGATATATTGCAGGTAAAGAATAAAACCAAAATTAGAGACCGGCGCGGGATGGGATTTTTCGGGATCCCGGAAGTTCGATTTTGCCGGTCACTAATCAGAATAAATATTTACTAAAAAAATTCAATTCAGGTAGTTCTGGTACTTTAATTGGCTATCCCTTAGATATATTAAAAACTCGTGTTCAATTAAATAAAAATTTGTCTGTTGGATTTACAAAAATTGCAAAAGAAATTTTACAAAAAGAGGGAATATTTGCTTTTTATAAGGGAATGGCCGCCCCTTTTATTTCTGCTGGATTAATTAATTCTTTACTTTTTTCTGGATATACTTTAACTTTAAAAGAATTACAAAATAACAAAAAATCTGAAAAAGATTTTAAAACAATTGAGGTAATTTTTTTAAAAATTATTTATTAAAAATAGGGGACTAATCCAAATAATATAAATTTTCTGAAATTAAAAAAAAAATTAAATTTAAATAATTTATTAAAAATATATTAAAATAAATAAAAAGCTTTGTGAATGGCTATCTTTCTAACCAGACTTTTATTTCCTAAAAATATAAGCGAAGACAAAGCTTCACTTAAGATTTTATATTTTGGGGTTAATAAAAATTGTTGGCTAAAAGCAGAGGCTATTTAAATATTGTCCCGAAAAAAAGAAAAGTTTCTGTTTTTCCCCCTTCCTGTTAGGAAAAATAGAAAGAAACCATCCTATCAAAGCCTAAAAAAGCTCAAAGTCAGAAATTTTTTCGACTTAAAATATATTTTCTTCATTTAAAATTCCCCCAAACCATTCTTCTCTTACCAATCTTCTCGTTTTTGTTGATTTTCTCTTCTTTGTTTCTCATCTATATAATTAATATATCGATGCCAAAAACCCTCGAAAGAAACAAGAGCATTAACTTGAGGATCAAACCAGGGTAGAGGTTCTGGATCTAGCGAGTGGAAGAAACAAAAGTCCAACTAAAAATTTTTTAAAATAAAAAATAATTTATAATAGAAAAGCCCCATCACTTTTACTCATCTCAAAATCTCCCCTCCCCCAAATTATTGGGTACAGCCTAAGTAAGCGTTTCCAAATCTTAACAAATCTAGTATTAAACGATTTCTCTCATCAAGCTAAAGAGATTGATTCAGAAATTGATAAGGGCCAGAAACTCTCCAGCAAGTTATGTCTTTGCGCCGTTATGACCGCGCGCCTAAACGGCCGTGTCCCCAAATTATCAACCTGAATTAAAAAAAAACAAACTCTAAAATATTCACACATAATATCCAACACTTCAATAGCCTTTTCAGTCTTTCTTTGACTTCGATAAGCTCGCTCACGAAAAACTACTCCAAAAGTAGGATCAGAATCTCTATCCCAAGAGAACATTGCTTCTAAAAATTATTTTTAATTTTTTTCAAAAAAATTCTTTCCTTACTCAAAGATGGAGGCTGTAAAACAATATCAATCCCCAAAAATCCCCTTCCATGAGTCGATGTACACAAACTATTTTTCCCTTTTTTCAATTTTTCTACATTACAAGGCTTAAATTTATATCGAACAATTCTTTCCCTCATAACGTCTAAACTGGCTTTGTCTTTTGTTTTTGTCGAATAAATTTGGTCGTGATCTCTATATTTGTCATTTGAAATTATAAATCCTCCAGTACATTTTGCATATTCTAATAAAATTAAATCGTCGTGAGAATGGTCTGTTATTGTTCCCAAATAGCCAAGTTTCTGCATTTCCTTTTTTTAAAAGAATAAAATAATTCGTTTTTGACCCAAAAAATTTGATAAAAAACAAGGGCGCAGCCAGGGGGCTTCTTGGGCTATAGCCCTCTCTGAAATTGGGAAAGTGAAAAAACTTTAGGAGGGAAATGATCGGAAAAGTGAATTTTTTACACCTACAACCCACAAAATTCACAAAATTTTCGCCTGCATGCGCTAAAAAGTGATTTTTTGGCCTACGGTCTTCTAAAATTCTCAAAATTTTTGCCAAAAAAATCTGCGTTCGAAAGGCCAAAGTGTACGCCAAATTTTGGCGCACACCCCCATTTTAGCCCCCTGAAATCGATCTCATGGCTGCGTCCTTGTTAAAAATTATCCTTTAGAATTTTCTTACAACAGAGTTCTGTCCCTATTCTTATAAAAATTAGGAATCAAGGCATGCTCGGGCCAAGAATTTATTAATAATTGAGGGATATTATTTTCATTTTCGAAGAAATTAAAATAAACCTCGAGAATAAAATGATTAGCAACTTTTTCTCTATTTACTCCAGTCATATAAGAATCTGGAATATAAAGCTTCAAGTCAAACGTTTCCCTCAATAAATTTCTTGCTAACAATAAAACAGCAATTGCATCACATTTTCTGAAATTGAAAAAAAATAGTTTAAAAATTATGAACATGACATTTTGTCCCAAAAAGAAATTTTTTTAGAAATTTTTTAAAATCCCTTATAAATTTTCAAAATGACATTTTGTCCCAATTTTATTATTATTCCCTATAAATAAATTTTCAAAGACCAAAAATAACTTAAAAATTAACTGATTATGTGTTTTTGCAAATGGACTCAAAAAAGCACATTGATGAATTAAATTTAAAGTATCAATTATTGCCAATCTTTTTAATGCAGTTTTCTCAATTGGAAGATCCGTCTCTAAAAAATAAATTTAGGAAAAGTTTTTATTTTAAAAAAACCGTCACAAGATTCTTCTGATGATAAAACCAATAAATCCTCATCTTTTGAACAACTTTGAATATTACTACAGCTTGACATTTTCTGAACCTATATGAATGATAAAATTGTAGCACGCAAAATCGTTAAAATTAAGCTAAAATAAAAAATGGGACAAAATGTCATTTTCATAAAATTCAAAAAATTGCTAAATTAAATATTTTTTTTGCGGAGATTTGTCTCTTTAAAATTATGTAACGGACAGATCTCGTAAATAGAGATCGGTAAAATCGCATTTGCAGGACCCTGTATCAGGATTGGGTTTTAAAATTTCGAACAGGACAGGATCCTGCAGGATTAATCCTGAAAATCCTGGAATCCTGTAACTGAAAAAAAGGCAGGATTTCGGACAGGATCCTGAAAAATCCTGTGCAGGATCCTGTCCTGTGCCGATCTCTACTCTAAAGGGATTGGCTTTAAAACTTTTGAGAGGGTCGGGATTAGTGCTTCGCCGGAACCGCAAATTTGGCCGGAAACGGAACCAAAAAATCCCGGAACTTCAGGCCTTCTGGAACCGGAACTTCCGACGAAGCTCTAGTCGGGATGGTCCAAAAATCTAAAATATTTGGACAATTCAAAAACCTTGCTGTTGAATGGTTTGTAACGATGGAAACAATTAAAAAAGTTTAAAGAAAAAAATTAAAATATAAAGATTTAAAGAGATTTTTTATTTTTAAAGATTATTTTTGCTTCGACAGTTGGAACATTTTTTCAAATAATTCCAGCAATTCCAATTGAATTAGTCAAAACTAGATTACAGGCAAATATTAAATAATTAATTTAATATTAAAATTCAGACTATAAAATTAAATAATTCACTAAAAATTAGTGGTCCTTTGAGTTGCGCTTTAAATATTTTCAGAAAAGAAGGTTTGATTGGACTTTATAGGGTAACTAAATAAAGGATTAAAATATTGTTTTATTAATTAATAAAATTAATTAGGGAGGGACAATAATGTTTTGGCGTGATTTTATTGGTTATCTATTTTACATTCCTGTTTATGAATATTTTATTAAAAATCTAAAAAATTTACATGGGAGAAAAAGCTCTACAATAAATGAGGATTTTATTCGAGTACGTAATACTGTAAATGTTCCAATAAAAGCCCTGGGCGTCTATTTTTTAAAGGGTATTTGGAGTGGACTTCTATAAGGGCATGGGCGTTTATTCTTCAATAGGTATCACTGAGTGGGCTTCTATTAGGGCATGGGCTTCTATTGGAACATTTGCGGTAATTAAATTTATAATTGAATAAATTATTAAATATTGACTCAAACCCCAAGTCAAGTTTAATAAAATGTTTTTAGTTATTAGCTGGTGGTATAGCTGGCTCCCTTTCTTGGTGGATTATTTGTCCCCTTGAACTGTTAAAAAACAGGCTCCAAGCTTTTCAACAACACCAAATACCTCTTCAAACTCGTTATCAATATTGGAAGATATTTTTACAAGTTTTTGAAGAAGGACGGGTAAAAGGAGGAAGTTTTTTATATGGAATGAGTACTTTCTATCGTGGGGGTACTTTACTTGCATTAAGAGCATTTCCAGTGAATGCTTGTGTTTTCTATGTTCATTCAAAATGTTTGGAATTATTTTTATAACAAAAAGAATAAAATTATTAATAATTTTTGAAGATGAGTACTAATTGATAAATGTCTAGTTCACTTCTACCTGTCTGCAAAGGGAATGCGCATTCCCCTTCCTTTGCTGTATTTCTGCGTTTCCGTTTCGTACATTGATGATTTTATTTTTTTTGTTTTCGTTTCGCTGAGGGCAAAATTTTATTTTCGCCCAGCTCTGATACTAATTATAAAAATATTTAATTAAACTTTTACCTTACATATCAAATAAGATTTAATAAACATATAGTTGTACTATAAAAGTACAAAATTTTATTTTAAACAAAAATCTCGTCAATATTCTGTGTTCTCTTCTAAACTTCTCAACAATATGGCCCCATACGATCGAGAAGATGATGCTGCTGCAGGTGAACCAACGCTTCTTTGGATTCTTGCGTTTGCTATTATCGAAAGTCTTCCCTGTATCATAATTTGTGTCGCTTTTGGAGGTACTATAGGTCTCGTCGCTTACTGCATCAACAAAAGCAACAGAGAGGAACGGGAGAATGCCATGCGGATCCAACAAATGGTTATCCAAAGGTCTAATTCTAATGGTTAGAATTTTTAATTAAAAAATTTTTTACTAAAATAATTTTCTTTAATTTTCAGTAAACGTCTAATCACAACTACCACTATAGGCAATAAACAATAAAAGAAGTAAAGAAATTAGAAGTGAGGGAAGGAAAATATGTAATTCTCTTAAATAATTTTGTTGTTTATTTATTTTTGTTGTTTTTGTAAATTTTATAAATAAATAAAAATAAAACATGGAATGATGTTTTTGTTTTAATTCTTTAAATGTTCCATCAATTTTGAATCAAGTTTGAGCCTTAATTGTTATTTTGTGTTGCCGTGAAGAGCGTCAAATATTGAACGCGTGATTTTGAGAAATGTTTTTGAATATTCTTTAAATCTTCAATCTAGGAGGAGCGTCGAAATTGTTTCAATTAAATATCTAGTGTTTAGAGCGATGTTTTGTTAAAAGTATGGATTTTGTGAAATAAGGGCAAGCTCTTGGTCTTGACGCTATTGTCATTGACTTAAGACTTTTCTTGTGTTTGTTTTAAACATGGGCAGTACTGTGTATTTAACGTTTTGTGGCTCCGACTCTATTCATATCTGGGTTAGTTCCAAAAGCGATGAGATCTATATTAATGCCACAGACGTAAATTTAGGGAATTTTGGAAAGACGAGAAGCTAGATTTCTTCACTTTTTAGCGCCGAAGCCAAAAATATCTGAAGAAAGTCTTCATTCTGGACAATGCTTGAAGATCATTAGAAATCGGAAATTTTATCAAATTTCGAAAAGTAAAGCAGCTGGGCTATAGCTATTTCTCTCCTTTAGCTAGTGCAAAAGGTTATTCGGCGGCTGGGAGCGAACCAACATCTTCAGTAGACCGGACCGATGTGTTGGTTATTACACCGCACTTGTTTGTGGTGAAAGTCAATGTTGTTAACCAATAGGAATTAAATAGCTTATGCTTTACAGAAAATTGGAATTCGAAAATCTGAAGAAAAACGTTGGGAGTCAGTCCTTTGCAATGTAATATAGTAGTAGAATGAAAGAATATAATACACTCCTAAAAATATGTACTATTTAAACTTTGGCCATAACCCAAACAAAATTTTGTACTATAAAAGAACGAAATTTTATTCCAAAAATATCTCCTCAATATTCTCTGCTCAGTTCTAAACTTCTCAACAACATGACCGATGAAGACTACAACAGTGGAGGGAATGCTGCTGCAGGTGGTGCGATTTTGGGACTTGGCACGACGGTGGTAGTCTTCCTTATGTATCTTCCCTGCTTCTGTTGTTGTGCTGTTATTATCTACATGCTTGTGCAGTACAGTAAGATCAAACGGGCAAAGACTGAGGTCGCGCTACTTCAACAAAACTATATGGCCAACCAAAGTCCCAAGAAATGGTTAGTCTTCTTAATTTTTTTGATTAAAATAAATTTTATTTTCTTTTAGAGAAGTTCTAATCATCTCCGGCTATAGACGATAAACAACAAAAGAAGTAAAGAAATTATAAATGAGAGAAGAAAGGATGTATTTCTTGATGGTAAAATATATAAATAAATAATTTTGTTTTGTCTGTTGAATATTAATTTGTTTTTGTTGTTTGTTGTAAGTGTAAATAAATAAAATGTATTGTGGAATTTTAAAAAAGTATAGTATGAGTAAAGAGTTTGTTGACTTGATAATTATTTAATCAGTTTAACATTTTTGTAGTTAGAGGAAATGTTTTGTTAAATAAAGTACCGTATTTACTCGATTAATTCCCCGCACTCGATTATTCCCCATGCCAGGAATGAGTTGAAACAATAATCCCCTCCCCCAAATACCCTACTCACGTTCAAATTTCAAAACTCGAATAATTCCCCTCCCTTGAATAATTCCCCATGTTACGGATGGGTTGAAAAAATAATTCCCCAGGGGAATTAATCGAGTGGTATGGTAAAAAATAATTAATTTCAATAAATCTATTTCAACAAAAAACCCAATTTAATCTTCAATTATTATTATTCTTAATTTAACTACTATAACTATTTATCGAAGCCTGTTTTGAAATAAAATTTTGTTATTATTTGGTAAATAAACCTTTCTTTAAAAACTTAAAGCTTTAAATGAACAATAATTTATTTAAAATACACTCAATAATAAAAATGCTATTAATTATAAAAATCATAGCGAAAACCGAGTGATCGGTTGTGAAAGAAGAAGATGTACTGCATAAAAGCTGATTGTTTATATTTTAACAATATTTTATTATAAAAATTAATAAAATTTATAAAACATCGGGCAAGTAAAATTAAAAATTAAAAGAAAGAAGAATTACTTAAACAAACAAATTTACAGATAAAAAATTTTGAGGTTTATCAAAAAAAATAAATTTAAAAAATATTTACCTAAATACATTAAAAATTAAAGAAAAACCCGATATCACCCTTTAACTGATTTAATTAAAATATACAATCAATTCTTTGATAAAACTAAAATGATTTAAAAAGAACTTTTTGATATTTTATAATTACAGGGGGAGGATTGATTGTATAGATATATGTGGTTTTGGATATGTTATTTATTTATTTAAAATTAAAAATGATATGAAAATATTAATTTAGGATTTTTGAAGGAAGTAGAATTGTTGTTTAATAATAAAAATTAAAATATTAAATTAGCATTGATTTAATTAAAATATACATATTAGATATTATTTTCTAAAATAGATAAAAAATATTTTATATAATTTCAATAGTATTTTACATTTAATATATTTAGTAGATAAATTTACAAAATAATATTTGTGTGAATTAGACATCAATTAGAATATACATACTAGAGATCGAGCTGTGGATCCAGACCTTGATTTTTCCTGGATCCAGAGTCAAGATCAAGGCATTTTTCAGCGTTCCTTAATTTTTCCTTGATTAAAGGTCAAGAATCTGGTCAAGGTACTGATTTAAAATCAAGGATCAAGGCCAAGGTTTTTGAAATCTCGATCTCTAATACATACTGCTAAATTAATTAAAAAATATAAACAAAAATTCAATTAAAAATATATACATATCACATATAAATTGGCCAAAAAAATATAATCATGTCAATTCGATTGTTATAAAATTTAGAAAAAATTAAAAAGGATTATCATATTTTTGATAGAATAATTAGAGATTTATTCAGAGAATTTAGATGTTTAAAATAGGGTAGCACCCCGTCCCCCAACGAATTTTTAGGCAAAAACAACGGCCCGACCCCGAAGACTCTACTCGACAAACCCCGATTCACGACGATCCCGCCCCCGAAGGCTCGTTGTGCTACCCTAGTTTAAAATTAATTTAGAGAATTTTAAGTCCAAATTAATATAAAAATAAAAAATTAAAAATACTTTTCCAAATATTTTTTAGAAAATATTTTTAAATTAAGGAAGACTTTGTTATAAATTAATTATAATTTAATAATGAATTAATTACCATCCCTGTCCCATTTTCTTTTGGTGTTTCTACTTGTCCAATTCTGAATTTTTTCAGTCTTTGAAGTACTTCTACAACTGAAAGACGTTTTTGTGGATTTCTGTGCCAGCATTCTTTCATTAAATCTGCCAATTCTGGTTTACATTTTTCGGGCACTTTAGGCCTCATTCCACTTAGAACAGCTATAATAACTTCATCATCTTTGAGTGGATCAAAAGGTTTTGAACCAAAAGAAAAAATCTAAAATAAAATATTGTTATAAATGGATGTAGAGACACAAAAAGGAAAAGGCCCCATTCTGTACCAAAAATTTAATATTTTCCATTATAGACTTGACTTGATTATAAAATCTTTGAAATATTGTAAGGATGATACACCTAGCAGATTTAAAACGCTTAGGTGAGCATTAAACGATTATAAAAAGGGAAAGGAGTAAGCGTTAGTAGATGCCCCGGTAGCTCAATGGTAGAGCTCCTATACCTAGCAAAAACTACATATGAGGAGGTCGCAGATGAATCCTGCCCGGTGGTTAAACTTTTGCTAAAATCTTGCTATATTTACCTCAAAGAAAAGTACTCCTAACGACCAAATATCAGACTGCGAAGTAAACTTTCCATTAGAAAGACATTCAGGTGCCATCCAACTAAGTAAAAATATTAATTTATTTTCTTCAAAAAAATCAAAGACTAACCGAACAGGTAAAGCTTTTCTTCTGTCCTGCATTTTGTAATAATCAGCAGAAGCATATAATCTTCTTGACATACCAAAATCGCCAATTTTAACACAAATTGGGGGCCGAAAAGCTGCAGAACTACATCTCATATCGGATTCGCCAGAAACAAGGCAATTACGTGCTGCTAAATCTCTGTGAACTATTTGTTGTCCAGCAAGGTAACAAAGACCTTCAGTTATCTACAAAGCTAAAGTATTGAGAAAAAAGGGAGAAAGACAATTTTTATTTTAATAATTTTGACGGTTTTACGATTAAGTAGATATTTGGGGGACATTAAAATAACTAAGTTCATTTTTCATGAGTTAGTCAAGAGGGCAAAAAAATAGTAGAAAATTTTTTTATACAACTAGGAATTTTTAAAACTATTTTCTAGTAGTAACCCCCACCCTTTTGTCTCAGTTGGAGGTAAGACATTTCGTATGGGGTATTTACCCTACCACCAACATGCCCCAATTGAGAAGTAAATTTACATCATGTCTCAGTTGAAGTGGAACATTTTATGGGGGTATGTCCCCAACACCCAGTGCCCCAATCTAGTAGTAACCTAAATCAAAGCCCAAGCCTTTTGTCTCACCCCTGTGTGTCGGCAAATCAAAGCCCAAACCTTTTGACTCACTTAATTTTCCCGCACCAACCTTTTGTCTCAGTAAATTTTGGACGGTGTATTGTCCCCTCACCCAACTGTCCCAGTTGCGAATTAAGTTTCCAAAATATCCCACAACATATCCCAGTTGTTAGGTAAAATATTTTATGGGTGAATTTCTCCTACACCCTATTGCCCCAATTTAGTAGTAAGTACCTCCCAAACGTCACAAATGTCACACCCCATTTGATCACCTGTCAATCAAACCTGAGGCTATAGGGGGTATTTTCTTTTGATCTTTGCCGCAAACCCTTTGCTTTTGGGGGGTTTGAGGGTAATTAATCATGATTAATTAGGGTAATTAATCATTGATGATTAATTGCTTTTTTGGTGGAAGTTTGCGGTAATTGACAGGTTTGATGTTTTTGGTGTCTGGGTGGTCTGTTGCAACATTTGGAGGTTTAAATAAAAATTTTTAAAGTAATATTTAAAAGTGCGGTAAAATTAAAGAGAGTCAAAAGGTTTTGGGTGGGTGAAAATGCGGTAAAATAAAAGAGGTATAAATAAATGACTTTTTGTTTTTTCAATTATCTGTGTGGTAGATTTAAGGGAAATATGTATTTACAGAAATGTTTTGATTGATTGAGAGAAGATTAGGTACATTAATAAGTATAAGGGTTTGATTGATAAGTGATAGGCGTGGGAAGTGATAATTAAAATATGAAAAGGTTTAATGGGGTAATAATTTTGTTTAATAATAGAAACAATTTATAAAATTAAAAAATAAAATCCCTGAGCGGAATCGAACCTTCACAGTCGTATCTTTTCGTATGCGGGAGCCTTATCCATTCGGCCATAGGGATGTACTTAAGTTTAATTAAAAAATCGGATAAATTGTAAAAATTAATTTCCCTGTGCATTTTGGGGATCGGGGGAGGGTTTAAAAATTTTAAAAATTTCGTACTTAAAATTTAAAAAATTAAATATTTAAAAGTAAATTCTTGAAAATAATTTAAAAATTAAATTGAATTTAAAAAATGATAATAAAAATTATTACAAAATTTTGACAAAAATAAAACGATTTTAAAAAAATGAGCGGAATTTCAAATGTAAGGGGATTTATTTCAAAATGCCAAATTTCAAAACTAGCGGGAATTCAAATTTCAAAATTGACGGGGATGCAAAATTTAAAATTTGCTAGCAATTACAAATTTAAAAAATTTAAAATTAATTTTAAATTTAAATGAAATATTTTATTAATTTAATAAAAATGTGTGACGAATCAAAATTTACAAAAATTTGAAAAAAAATAAAATGATTTTAAAAAATGCCCGGAATTTCATATGTAAGGGGATATATGAATTATAAAGAAAACAAATTAAAAAAATCTAATTTAATGTTAATGAGTTCTAAAGTAAATATTATTGATCTCTAACACATCTCTCCAACTTATCAAATATTTTGTAATTTGTTCATACATCTAAAATTTGGAGTATAAAAGGGAAGATTTTTCATATTTTTAATCATTTGCTATAAAAAGAAAAATATTTAACGTTCTTATAATGTCTTTTAATAATGAAGAAAACGGACCTTCTCCCAATAAACGCCCAAGATTCCTATTCAATGACATACAAAGCGGTGCGGGGACGACAAATTTAAAAAATTATTACCGCCAAATCGATTATGAAACTCAGTTTAACAGAAAATTTAAAATGATGGGAACAACTGGAAAGTTTATTATTGAAAAATTACCAAACAATCCGGAGGAATTATTGAGAAAAATAATACAAGACTGCATGGATCAAAGAGTAGAGGAATCAAAGAAACAGGCAATTAATCCTGACCGACTAGGCACAATAATTTCTTCACAGTTACTTGATAATGATATTTGGATACCAATTAGAAAGCTAGAA